TTTCCTTTGTTTTAAAACAGCCGAGAGCGCGTGTGTATACATATATTAATTTATGAAATTTGCATTCTAGGGCTCTCGACCCACATGCGAAGTAACGTAGCAAAGTACATAATTTTCTTTCAGGTCGCTTATTTTCCGAAAACTTTTTAACCAAAAATTACAATAATTTATTGACATTTATATTAGTCGTGTTGCAAAAACTCTTCTTAGTTATACATAAGAATTTATACGTAAGTGATAAGGTCTGGCTCTCACCCGCGCCCTTCTGAGAACTGGGAGTTGGTAGCGACAGGACGAGGCACTCCCTAGTGACACGCTTTGCGAGTCTCGTATAAGTATGGCATAGGTGTATCTTATATGGCTGCTAGATTAATTGATACTATGAAAACTATGTTTACAGTAATGTTTAAATATTTTATTAATTTTTAATAGCATTGACTGCACAGAAATATTAAATACTTATGAAAACAATAATTGTTTACGTTAACTAAAACATTTTTATTAGGAAAATAATTTTGTACACAATGTATGCACATCACATGCATGGGATTCATCAGATTTAAAAAAAATATCTACAATTTAGAAAAAAAGTAATCAATTTCCATAGACAAAAAGTCTACATTTATATTTGGCTCGTTGTAAAGGACCATCAACATCAACTACATCGCCTCGGGTCGCTATCGGAGTCTGCTGTTGCTATCTAACAGTACAGCGAAAATTGAGCGTCCGAATCGAGTCAATGAACCGAAACCTCACCGTTAGTCGCACCGATTCAAATCTAGCAGGACGGGCCCTTTTACCTCCCACTATTGCACCCAATTTTTTCTAAATTTAATAGTTGCGCACTGGTGATGACTCGTCTTGAATTTAATTATTGCTGCTCTTGATATTTTATATGAGAAATAAAATAAATGGCTCTCTATTAGTTTGAGTTTAACACACTAATGTCTTAAACGTGTATATGTAAACTTGATTATTAAAAGTAAATCAAGAAAATATATTTTTTAAACAAATTATCACTACTTTGTCTTTGTCTTACACTAGTATTGTACAGTACTTTGCATTTCTATACAAATCAAAACGATTACACACTGACAATAGCATAATCGAGGAACATTAAGAGAAATTTACTATATTAACTAGTAGCGTTCAGATGACCAAAAACCAAATTCTTAGATTTTACATATTAGTATACACTTACAGTTGCAGTTTTTATATTTTTTTCTCAGATATGAGACATTTTCCCGCGGTAAAAAGTATCCTATACATATCTTGACCCGGATAACCAGCTATCACCATACAAAATATTATGAAAATCCTTCCAGTGGTTTTTCTGTGATGCGGTAACAGACAGACAGACAGACGAAAATTCTAAAACTATAGATTCGGCCCCTGTATCGATAATAATGTTTATTTCAATAAAATTTTCCAAAAAATATTTAATGTACAGATTCGGTTTAGTTACAATTTTATTATATGTATAGATTGATAAAATCAAGCAGGTGTAATATTCGACGCCGATAGTGAGATGATGACATAGGTATTAGACGAAGATAAAATCGTCTCCCGTGCAATGAGAGAGCACACGTCTCTTAGAAAGCTAAAGGATTTCTTTTTCTTTGCAGCTTTTACCACTTGTAGTTTAACAGTTACACCGCTCTCTGCGCCCGCGCCGTTACGAGCATTCTGCTTATTCATTGGTCTCAAACGTCCAAATCTTGGGCATTTCACACCGTGTTTACTATTACCGTTTCTGATTACTCATTTTATAAAATTAAGACTAGTCTATTAAGCTCTCGAAACACGAGTAATTGAGGACTGTTGTGGGATATTTTGATAAGTTTATGAGGGTTTTAGATTGTACCTAAAACATCCTCCAAAAATCGTCACCTATCAATATTTCAATAATTCAATAATATCAACATTTTATTATTGAAAGATATAAAAGCTAATTTAATATTTATATAATTTTTTATCTTTATTTAATATTACCCGATTGCGCTAGAAGGAGGGTAATGTTTTTCGAATGTTTGTACGTATGTATATTTCTTTGGCATGCTCTGTACCTAGCCTAAACGGCTGGATGGATTTTAGCTTGAGAGGTGTCTTTAGAACTTAGACGTATGAGAGTGACACTGGGTACATCAAAATTATAAAAATTGAAATGGTCGATTTTTAGCGCTATATTATGTTTTCAGAATTGTTTTCCTCAAAACCTATCGAGTGGGGTATCAAATATATTAATAATATTATTTAAATATATTAATAAGATTTATTACACAACTTTTAATGAATTACTTAAGTAACAAGAATTGCTTTACAATGCACGTAATATGTAGACGCACGGTTAATGAGGATTAATAGTAGCTAGAACTTGATAGAATTTCAAATAAGAAACATTGTTGAACTACATGCATTCTAAGTTGATTATACAGATTTTTATTTTTGTAAGAATTCACTGTAGTTAAATTACTTATTTTCCCATAAAATTAAATTTTCAACCGACTTCAAAAAGGTCGGTGTGCTTTGGCTAAGTAATTAAAGCCTACCTATTAAATACATACCTAATCAAATATTTTCGAAATCGGTGCCAGCCCATACAAAGCAAAGCACACCGACTTCGAAAATATTTGATTAGGTATGTATAGTAAATGAAAACTACCAATCAGTTATTTTTTACTTTTTAGTGCTTTTGTTTGAAGTCGGTTTTTATTTTTTTGTTAATAATTTAAGTAATGATGGAGTGTGATGACTTATCACAATCTCAATGTCTCATTTTCCTCAGAAACCAGATGCAGTAGCGTAGCTATGCCAATGCAATCAATGCAGTAGCAACGGGCCCCTAATTTAAGGCCCCTGATTCAAGGCCCTAGAGAGGGGGGGGGGTCAGAGGGCCACAAAACGATTTTTTTTATTTTAAAACATTTTTTGAGGACAGCCCTCATAGAAATTTAAAAAAAAACGCAAGAAAAAAAGCATATTATTTTTTACGAAGACCACGAAGAATGTGAACCTATGTTCAACAAAACAATGAATGGTCCTTATATCAACTTTTTTTACTAGTACTAAATAGGCAAAGGGGGGCACATCCATTTTATTTTGCTTTGCGGCCCAAAAAGGCTAGTTATGCCACTGACCAGATGCAATATAATTATCACTTTGATCAATGCAAGCACACGTGCACACGTTTGACACAATTGGGCACTGTCAGCCAGATATAAAAATGACTATATATTACTTTATAATTTCTAGCGACTGGTTCTCACTTGGCTCACATCTCTGTCTCTTGGTACATTTTAAATTTTTTGTGGAAATTTTTATAATATATTAATAAACTAAATCAATATCCTACATTACTACGAGGAGGTGGAAGTAATCAAAACTCTCCATATCCTTTATCCTCCTTATACTTTGTCCTCCATATACGATCTCTATGGAAAATTACGTTGATTTTTAGACAACTGAAAGAAGGTCAGACAAACAAACATACTGTCGCATTATGCTATATTAGTAAGAATTCATACTTAATTTTTATTTCTTTAAATTTTACATCAATACTAACTGAAAATATGATTTTTGACAAGTGAATGACATAAATACAGGATTTCAGGGCATGTTTGTATTACGGGGAAAGTGTAAGGCTTTATGCACCAGCCTCAAAATCTAGGTCACCTCGGGTAAGGACTTCAGCTCAGTGACACGATAACCTAGGTCAGGTCGCTACTGAATTACTCTGGAAATCGATACAAAAGACTTTCAGACTTTTCGTTGTTACGAAAATACCATAATTGGACTCGCATTGAGAACTCAAATGGCGAAAAAGTAGAAAATGAATTTTATACACATTTCAGTTTTACATTTAACTGATTTGATATTATGTATGTTGATATATTGTTACAATAACAATGTAAGTTAATTAAAAAAATCAACTCTGGGTCTCAAATTTCTGTAAGTGTAGTGTGTCATGTAAATGGAAATTAATTTATCTATAACTAGGTTAAAACTAGTAGTAATATTTATATTTTATAATTATAATTATTTTAATTTATATCAATAAGCTTACCAACATTGTGTTGTACGTATATTAAATAATAGTATAAAAGCAATGAATAGTATAGTCTTATAAAATTAATTCAGCTTTTCTCTAATTAATGAACTTTTCTACGTATATCGTTAGCAATAAGCTATAAGTACCTACATATGTGTAATAAATTGTGAATCATTTTACTTTGCATCATTATTAAAATATAAATTCAAGAAATTAATAGTCATTAAGTTAATATTGATAATTAATGTTAATGGCAAGTTATATAAAGAAAATAATTTGAGAACAAGAAAAACAAGCTCAATAACTTTAAAATTAGGCAAATGCTACCCGCATTACCTTATATATAATATATACATTAATAGAATTGTAACTGATCGCTGTCTGTACTTAGAAGATATTTGAGAAAACTATTATTGGGGTCTTTACAATAGAACCCAAAACAATGATTTTTAGGAATTTTGTGTGTTTGTCTGTGCGTTTATGCGCGCTAATCTCAGAAACTTAATTCACTTACTACTTACTTCACTTAACATTTAGTATTTGTTTTATTTCAATCGGTTCATAAATAAATAAAATATGTGAATTTAAAGTATCACCTAGGGACGAACCCAAGCGAAGCGAGGGTGAGTCGCTAGTTTTAACTACCTATATAAATCTATCTTACATTTTATTATTGACTGATGCAATCCAGTTTTTAAGATAGATGTGAGTTAAATTTGTTTCGCGCTATCATAATATGTATTTACTGTATAATGTATATTGATAATATTGATCTCATGGTGACACCGCCCTTGAGTTGTCACTCGGCTTTGGTGTAATAGTTCAATAAATTATTTAATTACGTATTTTGTCGTTTATAATGTAATAGATTTTTTTAGTATACTTAATCAGTTCCTTAGTTTATCTAGTGATGGGCCCTAACCTTATAAAGCAAGCACGATAGCGGTCGTTATAGTTCTGCTTCATGACTCCCCACCCTGAAGCAGTCGGTTCCCATCATCCAGGACGTTATTGCTTTGCTGTGCGTTTTCCTCGATTCACTTTTGTAACTTTCTAACCCTGTGGAGTGGCGCGGTAGGGAGGGGAGCGGGTACCAGAGAGAGGGTACCGACCTCATTGCCCATTGCCACTCCTCCCGCCGAGGCGGCAGGCCATTTTTATTAAAAACACTTCCGTCACAAATCGCGCGCGGACTTTTCGTTCTATATCCTTTAATCCTTGAAAATTGTTCTAATTTATTGAGTTGCAAAACAAAGTGGACAATTTAATGTAAATTAATTTTATTTATAAGTTATAATTTTTTTAAGTGTTTATAAAGTGTGAATTGTATTTTAAAATTTAAAAAATACGTGCGCCCCGCGGTCTATTTTCCGTACGGTATCGCGTGCGCTCGGTTGCGAAAAGTGGTGGAGCGTCGGCCATCTCCGCCGGCAGTCGGCAAGGCGTCCAACTCACCCCGCCCGCGTGCAACAGAGACGGAGCACGGTGCTGACATGGCGACAACACGAATGGATTGATGTTTTTCACGTGGAAAACTCATCCCTTCATATATGCATGTAAAGGTATGTCGACGATCATCATAATGTCCACATTATGTACTTAACTAAATTGACTGACATTCAACTTAGCATGTATCTACGTTTAAACCTGAACAGGAGAGCGTACATGAAAAGGCTTTATTTTTAAATTGAATTTGGAATCCGTATTTATTTTTAGTAACGTTTCGTCTGGCTTGAATGATAAAAATACCTTATAAGTTAGATAATAATTATTGCTATAAGGAATTATTGCAGATATAATTCATATTTGACGAATAGCTATATAAAATAATTAGAAATATCGTAAACACTAAGATGTAATGCTATTGCGTACCGGCCTCGCCCCTATCACGCGTGTAATAAACGAGATGGCTATTACAGTATCCCCCTACGCGGTATTTTAAAATCACAGCCAAATATAAATCGGCTACCCCATTAAATACGTATAATGAGTCACATCGGATAATTTCCCACTAGCGTAAGGGCGATCTCGGTTGCAGGAGAGGAAATCAATAAATTTCAATAAATCAATATTTTACCGTGCACCCTGCGCTGAATATATCCGCTGCCGCCATTTCGATGATGACGACGTATTTTTTGTGAGAGATATTCGAGTAGCGGAGCGAGTCGGTGTTCGCCGCGCGGGGTTGCGGGCTGCGGCCGTCAGTCGTCGGGTGAGCGGGGTGCGACGTAAACGCGGACTCGGACTATGGCGGAAGGGCTGATCCTCATTCCCATAAAAGGGTCGAGTTGATTGTGGTGCAGATACGTGTGGTATGTTCCCTTATGTTAGTGCAGTGATATAATTATTCGCGAACCGTTCTTATCTCGTCCTATCGGCCGAATTAATGTGGATATCGTAGGTAATAATGCCATTGTGATGACGTAATGTAACGCGCTCGACTGAGTGCGTAGTAATAATTCGTGCGCCCGTTTATACCGCGATAACGTTTGTGGTCAGCACCTGTGGATGTGGAGCAAATTTTAATATTTTTCAAGGTTTTAAAATAATTTAAGTTTGGTTCCAATCGGATTCCAATAAGATTTTGGGGGTCGTTTAGTTTTTATGTTATGATTAGTCGGTGTACGTATTTAGATATAAGTCCTGATGGTGGTACATTTTGCACAAGTAAATAGCGGTCTGTATGTATAGTTTATACGTACCTATGATTACACGTAGAATGTTTTCCTACTGCAGTGCGCTCGACGATGCACGGACTCGCCTCCCGCCGCTAGAGGCGCCCTCGATTTTTTTAACCTTGATTAAATCTACGAGGTATCTACTGGATCATTCATAACAAACTTGAAAATAATGAATACCCTTGAACTCGCATTATAAATGTGAAATATTTTTTCTTTTTATATTAAGCATTAAGTTAAAAAACATGTTGTTTAATGAAGGAATTATTATTATTGTTTATAGATGTCTAATCAATAAAAATTACTTAGTTATACACATTTATTACTAGCGAATTACCCTTGCTTCGCTCGTGTGCGTACTTAGGGTAGGTACGTAGTAATTTTTTTGAGCTGAACCGTAATTCTTTTTCTAAAATAAAAGTAGCGTAAGTTAGGTACTCATTATAACATCAGCAATCTGCCATTGTAAGTCCCGTCAATCAATCAAGCCGTTTCAGAGATAAGCCGAAACAAACACACAGATACATAAAATTTTTAAAATTTGTGTTTATCTTATAAGTACCTTATATAATTTCATAGGCATTTAGTAAAAAGCTGTCTGACATTATAAACAGATACTTCAATTTTATTTATATATATATTTATTTATTTATTTAAGCTGAATTAAAATAGAAGCAGGCAAATGAAGTATACCTACTCAGAATATTTCTAGTTCTTTAATGGAAAAGTCTAAAGGAAACCAAGCCTTTAAAAAATTAAGTCAGTTAATCTATGAGCGAACTTATCAATCCCTAAATATTTACTTACATAATAGCTATCGCAAAGTATTTTTGTTTATATTAACTAAAGAATTTAATTTTTTATAAAAAATTAAGGACATATCTTTTAAAAACAGGCGTGAATAATAATTATGTACATATATTTAAATACATATTTGCTAAGAACTTTGAATTAAAAGAAAATATCAATATTTCGTTTCAATTGACGAATGTAACTTGCTAAATTAATTGCTTCTCCATTTCAGATCTCCCAGCGCCCGTCACACCGAAAGCACTAGCACTATGAAACAAATTAAAGATGGCTTCTAAGTAAACACTATTCATTGTTAAAGATTTGTTGTATTGTTCATGGATTAAGAGAGAATACTTATGTATACATCATTGAAATATTGTTGATAGCTTTTAAGCCAGGACTGGTTTTATTCATTTCTTCCAAAGAAGGATATACAGAGTAAAGATGGCTACGCAAAGATTTTGCTTACGGTGGAATAACCACCAGACCAATATGTTGTCAGTGTTTGATCAGCTTCTACACGCAGAAACATTCACTGACGTAACGCTGGCTGTAGAAGGCCAATTGCTTAAAGCACATAAAATGGTTTTATCGGCTTGCAGCCCCTACTTCCAAGCCCTTTTCGTAAATCACCAAGAGAAACATCCCATTGTTATTTTGAAGGATGTTCCATACTCTGACATGAAAAGCTTACTGGACTTTATGTACAGAGGTGAAGTCAGCGTCGATCAAGAAAGATTGACCGCTTTCCTGAAAGTAGCAGAGAGTCTAAGAATAAAAGGACTCACTGAAGTAAATGAAGAGAAATGCGATATACCTGCTTTAACTAACTCGTTAATTCAGCAGCAAAATACCAACACAACTGCACACACACCGCCGCCACAGTTGCATAGAATACATCCGTACATGCATCAAAAAAGGCCTGCATCCGGCATCCCTAGCGGAGGCGCGCCCCCTAATTTACTAATGCCTTTATTGGGCAATGCTTTAATGCAACCGAAGCGAAAACGAGGTCGACCCAGAAAACTAAGTGGAAGCTCTAGTGACGCCCTGAATACAGCCGCCAGTCCACCGGGTGAATTTATCCCAGAATCTGCATCGCATACGTCTTCAAATAGAGCGGGAGATCAATTACTTCGTGGCTCCCCGGAAATGCTGGAAGTCAAAATGTCTATGGATGGGTTTAATGCTGAAGATGGGGCAACGTCAGGAGGTGAAGATGGTGGTGAAGCGCTAATGATTGACGAGGGTGATGATACTCAGTCAAATGAGGCTCCCACATCAGGAAAAGATTCAGAATCTGCAGGTATGTATTTTATAACATAATCTTGATATAAGTTCGTCATTAGAATTTTTAGCTCTTATAGATCCTTAGATTAAGTAATCCTTTTATGAATATTTTGAGCGAAATCATCGGTTTCATTACTTTAAATTAATCAAGCGAGAAGTTTTGATTTCACTACACCGTTAACGAAATGATTCAAGATAATTTCCGCTTATCTTTTGTAAATATTTTATAATCTTCCTTCCATTTACCTAACACCGTTTAAGATTCTTAAAATATCACAATTATGTAAAAAGAGAAAAGCTACTGGGATATAAGCTTTGATGTTAGGATGTAACAAGTGAAAAGTGAAGTGTAATTTAAATATCTATATTATATTTATTTAAACTTTATTCTGAAGGGGTAAGTGATAATCTCTCAAATTTTTATGACGTGCGTATTCGAGACAATAAATGCTTATTACTTTTTACAAGATAACTATTGCTTGCTTTTCTGCTTTCGGGGAGAGCTATTAGAGGAATGGCCAGGGGCGATTTCGGTGTGGTAATGGTTTGAGCAATATATTTTCACTCTTTTAATATTTTAAAAGTCAATATATATTTTACATGAGATACGGGAAAATAAACAAGGCTTATTCCCAATAGCTTTCCTTCATTTAAGGCATGATTGGAAACATTTTAGCTAAATGCTCGTTCAATAAACACTAGTAATTTGTGTCCTAAAATATTTCCAGTTATTACCTTCATACATTTTAAACATATCGTAAATTGTTCAGGCAATAAGTAGTCGTGTTATACAATTTCAGATAATGACAAAGCGCAAAAAGAGGAAACTCACCAAAATTTTCCAACAAACGGTCCCGTATTATCGATTGAGAATGGATCTATTAAACAGGAGCCTAATTCTGAATTTACCGATGATTATAATGAGCCGATCGAATATAAGTACAACCCAGATAGAAGCCGTGAAAATTCTAACTCTCGGGAGGGTCCCATAAAAGATGCAGATGAAAAAACAAGACTAGGTCGTAATCTAAAGCCAAAGAATAGTAAAAAAATACTTCCCCAAATGTCTAAATTTAGAGCTCGAAGCCTGTTTAATCAGCTTTCTGGCCTGTCTAACTTGAATCCCGCCCTCAACAGCTTTGATAAGTTCCCTCCTGAAACTGTTCTCATGCCTGCTCTCGCTACTCAATTGTTTGCTGCTGAATTAGAGCAAAGTAATTTAAATATGACAAGCAACGAAGTATCTGATTTAGCGCAAACTAATTGGGAACATCGCATATTTCCCTCACCTATTAGGAAAAATAACATAGGTAACGTTGGCAACTACCATGAAGAGACCAACGAATCCGTAAGGGACTATTGCATTAAGGAAGGCGAAAACGTTTTCAGGTGCAAAATTTGTGCCAGAGTTTATACTCATATCAGCAACTTCTGTCGACATTATGTCACTTCTCACAAAAAAGATGTCAAAGTTTTTCCTTGTCCCATTTGTTTTAAAGAGTTTACTCGGAAGGACAATATGATTGCCCATCTTAAAATCATACATAAAAATCAGCCGAATGCCAATGAGCAAACGGCAAAGCAGGAGTCTTAATGGAAACGAAGTTGTTGTTCTACTTAAACAATTGTTTAAAAAGATCTGATTTTATTTTAAATTCAACATTAAGTAAATTTAGAATTTGAATTTTTAAAAATAGTGTTTAAAATGTAGATTGCAATTGAATAGGCATTCGAGCTCTAAGTTTCACGGTATATCAATAAGTTTGTTGATATTTTAGCGACACGAGTCGTTTGTTGTTATATTTATCTATTTATTTATGTTGTTCCATTTGTTTCTCAGAGTGCTGAACTTCGAAGAGATTTAAGAAAAAATCTATAATTTACTTGTTATTTTGCACTCACTTGTTACTTAATTTTATTACTTACAAAAATTTCAGGGTACAAAGTAACTACTCATGGTGATCGTTGATTCAAACGTAGTCTATTCGATTACACACAATTCTCATTGAACTGAATTAGTTAGTGTAGTTTAGGGGTTATTTTTACGAGTATACCAATGGCGGAGCCTTTTTGTAAATTAAAATTAGAATGAATGATATTTAATAAGATTCTGAATAATTAATATTTCCTGAACAGAGGCTATGTTAGACTCTACAAAAAGGCTTACATATACTAATGCCATTTTCAGTAGTGGTGTGAGATGCATTTTCATTTAACTTGCCTTATTAGTGATCTTAGTTGTATAATTTACAATATTTTAATTATGTAACTTCTCCGAAGTAAAACTCAACACGGGCTATGATTTTTATTTGTAGATTTTGTTAAGGTTAATTTAAAATAGTTTATCGATGTTGAAATGTTTGGTTGTAAACGTTATTCTATTCAAACTAGACCATAATATATGTTGGCTAAGAAAATAGGATAGCTTACAATAATCTCATTTAAACAAAAGTAGTATAGATTGAGTTTCATAAAATGTACGCAGATTCATCAGTAGGAACAGAGTAACTACTATTTTCCATTTTTTCCTTTCGTTATCGAGATGCATGTATATTTATACACTTTATATTATATCTATAGGTCAATTAAGTACCTTCTGTAAACAAGTATCTGTCAAAGACAATATTGTAATTTAATCGTAGGAGTCATATGTATAATCCGTATATATAGGGGACGTTATATATAACACTCGCGGTGAATCATTCTCCTACCAATTTCATGTTATAGCAAATTTATTTATAACGGATTCAGATTCGTACATAATATGTGAAAAATGAAGAATGTTTATTATTTATTTTTTTGTAAATATTACTTAAACGACAACAAAATTGTTGTAAAAAGTGATTTTAGCAAGGTGCTTTGAGAAAAGTTTAAAATACTGGAACCATGAGATGATTTGTAAATTCTATTTTAGTAGAAATCAAAATGCCTTAAATATATATTAGGAATTCGTACTTATTAAAATATTTAGTTTAAAATTTAGAGGCAAAAGTAGTCTTCCATATATTGATAGCTACACTTTCTCGATTCAGTTGTTGAATAAAGATACATATATTAATGTTTGGAGACGTTTTGTCGGAAACATTGTCTCGTAGCCAAGTTTACAATTATACACTTTTCAAACGTGGACGACTCGGTTTAAAGGATGCAGTAAGGAGGTAGACGATTATGAATGGTTAATATTATAAAATATTTAGTTTTACTAATATTTTATTTATATGTTTAATTAATTACACCTATAAATAATCATATTTCGAAGTCTTGATAGTTTGATTATCTAGGCATCATTCATAAGCGTCGACCTAAAAATAAGAGACAAGGCGAGTATATTATAAACTTCAATTTTACGTTGACGACCCAGAAATTAAACGGTTTCCAATTTAATAAGTAGTAGGTCCAGGGAACGCTTGCCTATTAGTGTGCCTTTACTTGTATATTAATAAGTTAATCGACTATTAGGTGACTAAGAAATTTCAAAGAATATTACGTATAATTATTTATTTTCATTATTCAAAGTTTACAATCTACTTTAAGAAGCTTCCTTAGGATTATAGAAACCTTTAGGCCCAAGTAGTTAAATACGGCGTTTATAGTTAAATTTAGGGATATCATCTCATGTTTCCCACTTTACATGAAAATTGGAACAACGTGTATTGTAATAAATAAATTCATATTGTAAAATTCGGGGCATGTACTGCGCCTAGTTAATCAATGTTAAGACTGTTGAATTCATATAAACGAATTTATTGTACCTTTCATAAACTTTATATGAAAAATTTATCTTTGAACATGGATAGGTACTTAAAACGGAAATTAGATATATTTCAAGGTGAGGCTATTATCGAAGTTTCGAAAACTTATAAATAGTCAATTTAGCCAGTGCCTAAACTTAAAGTGAAACTCTTTCAACTTTCCTTAATTAAAACCGCGTAAATCATTCTCCTTTCAGAGTTCCTTCATTTTATTCTATATAAATAAAAGTATAAATTCTATTGTATTTGTTATAAACAATTATAAAATGTGTATTTATGTTAACGATAAATATCTTATTTCTATATCGATGGAACATTATTTAATTAAAGCTATATCATCAATTGGTGCTAAATTAAACTTAAGGCGACGTCACATGTGATGTGACATTAAAAATGAATGTCCCTAAAGTGTATGTTGTTTGTTAATATTGTTATTTTGAAATATCTATATTATGTTGCCCTTATTTTGTTATCGTTAGAAGAACTAATGTTCAACGGGGCATCAGCTAATACGCGCAGCTAGTTAAACTTATATTTTATGTGCAGATGCTATTTATAACAGTAAATATTATAAAATATATATTAACATATTATAAATATTACATACTGTTCCACAGATTCAAATTAGAGTTTATTCATGCTGTTTCATTCTTACAGAGTATATATATATATGCTTATATAAATACAGAGTATATGCAGTTCTCAAAGATATAAGTAGAAAAATATTAAATTACATTTGCAGAGTATAATATAATATTTATGATTGTACTATAATTACAATGACGATTTATTTTATATTGTAATATTAATATTGAATATGGTAACTTAGAGAGGTGTCACAAAGTAAATACAATTCATTTTAGCAGTCTTTGTATAATTGAAAATTTTAATTCAATAAAACTAGGTTAATATCGAACATAACTGAGGATGGGTCGAAATTTATAAATGCCGGTTTGAAGCTCATTTTTTTAATCGACACTTAGATTTTGAGCAAAAAAAATTGTTCGTACAGATATCTCTACAAAGGTCCTATATGATTGTGATTAGCGATTGACAAAATGAGTTTAAACCGTACAATTCTTTTTTCTAAAAGCATGATATTTATAGATAATTTCATTAATCTAGTTATAAATTGTTTTGTGATTGCCAACTTAGAATCATTTGCAATAGTGAAAATAAGAATTACTTCTTTACAAGTTTTAAAGTTGTAGTTTATCCTCAGTATTAGGTTAAGGTACAAGCAAATTACATTTCAAGCAAAAGGCGAATTAATTAATATAGACCGTTCTACACCTCTCATAAGTCTTTTAAATAAAATTATATTATAACTATTTTATCTCAACATGACACAGTAATTTGACGCAAAATATTAATAAATTATTATATAGTTCTTAGCCAAATGTTGACTCCATATTTTTTGTTATTTGCACTTAGACAATAGCAAATGCAAAGTGTAATATTTAGAAAAATTAGATTCGAAAGTTACACATAGCATTATTTGTTATTGAAAGAAATACGATCGTATACAATAAGGTGTTAATTACTATTTTTAGAATCTTTAAAGAAAATAATAAAAGTTAAAGCTAAAATGAATCTTTTCTATCAATGTTATTGTTTGGTTTTGTACCATTATTATTTTTCTTTTTATACCTTTTTTAATTCATTATGTTTTTGTAAACTTTTAAAAAGTATGTTATTGACATTACAGAACATTGCTTTTAGTGACTCTATCGTCGATTGTTTACCGCTCAAAGCGCGAGGTCATGTCAAAAACATGCTTCTTTTCTGTTATACTTGTTATGAGTACTTAGTATCTTCTTTACCAATGTATATTTTTAAAAGGAACATTACATATAGAATATCTTGCCAAGATTGATTCGTTTTATAACATGGAATTAAAACGCTACGGCTTTACATTTAAGCGTACCTTTTTATGGTGATATCAGCAACGATGCTTATTGTATAAACTATTCAGACATTAATGAAAAATAAACTATGTATAATAGTAGCAAAGTAACAACACGGGTTATTAGTAAAGATTAGTTTAAGTTATTTATAATATTATAGGCATAAATTGTGTTGTTTACAATGGAGTGAATTTTCTATTCTGTAGAAAAGTAGTAGTCGCGAAGAGAGGACTGATCAGGTAGGTATGATGTCATATGATACTACTCTCACGTAGACGGTGTGGTTAGAGCTAGTTACGTTAACATGCTTTCTATGTTGCTCAAATTGACGCTATGCGAAACAAAGTATTTTTGGTTCAGTACAAATTGTTGCTTTTGTATTTTAATTTTTAAACAATAGATTTAGATGTCTTGTAAAATGTAATCCAATATGAGGCTATATTATTCGGTGATGTTAAATGGGAGGCAGCTATTTTCTGATGAACATGTAAAATATGTATATCCTTGCCAGAATTTTACTTATAAAAATAATATCAACTGAAAGACCCACCTTATGTGATCTTATGAGCTAAGTAAAACTGATACGTTATTTTTATAAATTATGACACTTGCCGAAATAGTTCCAAATGCAAACACTTGAGTCCTATTTTTAACATAGTAAAAACTATCTTTTTTGTTACTTTATATATTTTTTTAATTTATTACGTAGATTTAATGATTATTTTATATAGTTATAGAAGTTTGACTTTAGAATCCGACGTTTGATCCAAATGATTGCAAATCTTTAACCACTGCCTAGTGTTATTCAAACAAAAAATTATTTTGCACAGCATATATTTTTATCTTGTACCTAAAATATTTAGGAATATTAGTATCTACTTTTATTTATGTTTTAAATTTTTATTTTTGTTTCTAGTTCGATATACATATATTTTGTTTAAGGATTCATAATTGGACGAGTTTGTCATTGTATTCTGTACAGTCGAACGAGTTTTATGAGTAAATTATAAAATAAATTGGTGCTACTTATTTCTTCAGCAATACTAAGTTTATGTAAGATGACGAACTTGTCTTTAAAGTAGTTCCATCTATCATGGTTTTCGTTTTTATCGTGGTGTAATTAATTTCGTCAATCAATTTGAACAAATAAATATTAATATATTTTCGTCTTTTGTTTCTTTTTTGCCCTTCATACATCCATTTTTTTTATTTAATTGCTATTTCATATTTCAATTAATGTGTAGATATTATATCGATGTTACTAGAAATTACTTTTGCAGAATAAACATTGTGGTAATTAAAACACCTGGTTTCAGGTCGTGGTACACCTGATTTCGAAAATAAAGACATAAAATTTGTGCAATCACCCTCAAACGACGGTCAAGGAAAGATTCGTATTAACCCCGCAACACAATCTGCATCAACTTCAAACGAATACCAAAACGATTCAATTAATAATAATACGTTACCAACAGGAGGGAGCCAGATGCAAAGACCAGTTGTCAGAAGACGCATAAGAAGAAGGGCGAATTCAGCCTCCAATGACCCGGCGGAGCAGTTAACGGAGATGTCAGTTCGGGGCCTCAATCTGTTCAGATATGCGTCCGTCAATGAGGGAGTATACCAATGTACGGAGTGCGCAAAAGAAAACATACAAAAAACCTTCAAAAACAAGTATTCATTCCAGAGGCACGCCTTCCTCTACCACGAGGGGCAACAGAGAAAAGTGTTCCCATGTCCCGTGTGTTGCAAAGAATTCTCTAGACCTGACAAAATGAAAAATCATATGAAAACAACGCACGATTGTTACGTACCGAAAGATTGCGTTTATCCCCCAAATGCGTTTTTCATGTTACCCGGAATGGAAGGACAACTACCGCCCGGGATAAAGTTAGAAGCGATCGGCTCCGGGTCTCCCCGGAACTCCACGCCCACGCATTCGTCCCCAGATCCTGCACAAGTTTAACAAACGTGACGTATGCTAAGATTCGAGATTAACATTGTCGTTGTCATTTTGGACCATTAACATAGTGCCTTTGAAAACGCCTTTATTTTTAGGTTTTCTTCAAATATATTCTGTAGTTAGATATCCAGAGTTCAATAGGCATAGTGTTCGATCTATTTTTGGAGTGAAATTTTAAAGTATACTTTTATCGTAAGTATTTCCAATGATACTGTTATGCATTTAATATCTAAAGTTTGTTACATAGAGCTCATTATGTTTAACTTGTTAAAAGTATGGTTGTGCAAATATTAGACAATAAATATACAAGATTTTATGAAGGCCAGTTACGCAACTACTACGGCGTATTAAATTTAAATGTTTACAATTTCTAGCGTTAGTAGGTGCTTTGCAAGTCTGAATTGTGCCTTCCATTCGTTTTCTACTCTTGAATTTTATAAACCTTTTATTCAAAGTTTTCTTAAAAATGTACTTTTACAATTGTTAAAGTGACATATCGCAAGACACCGACCAAAGACTGTAATTAACATTTCATCTGTCTTCGCACTAAAGATTGATCGGATCTTTAATTCATTCAAATAAAGAGATGTGTTTTTAGGACGCAGATCAATACTTTCTCATTCAATGATTACTAAAATACTTGATAGAATTATGATAGAATAAATAAAGAATTTTACGTATATCTCTAAAATTTATAATCAGAATTCATTAATTTGAAAAATAACGTTTGATAGGTGATAGATAACAATAGTTATTACTTATCCATATATTTTTAAAGACTTTATGTATAAAAAAATATATTTTAACTTACTGTTTGAATATTAGTGAGCCTATTGTTACTATATATATTTAATACGTTATATTCAGAGGTAAAGTTATAGATTTAAAAATATATACGATAATAAATACGTAAAATCTATAAGTGCCATAGCGCATATGTTAATGTTGTATAAAAAACGTTTCCATATCTATTTTCATTATAGTTATAGTATAATAGGCTCTAGTTATGTAGAGCTCAGAAACGACAATCAGCAGTTCTTCCATTGATAAGGAATTTGTTACAGAGGCGGTGATTACGAGTGGTATCTTTAATCGATTGATTATAAGAATCATCGTTTATTCCGATTATAATCAATTCGTAAGTCTAATCATGAGTTATCAGTCTTATTTTTAGTATGATCGAGAATTGCATTATGAAAATCTGTATAGCAGATTATATTATATTATGATATCGATTAAATAATTATTCGTAATCACACGCATCTGATTTATTAGACGTTATGATTAATCTCCACGTTTAAAATATAAGTTTAATAATAGGTTACGTTTAAAAAGTTTTTATAACACGAGCAATTTATATAAGCCTTACATATTTTTAGATTATAGATTTATTACTTAAAAGATTATTATTGAGTTTTGTGTTTAAATTTAGCGCACAATTTTTAAGAGTATGTTAAGTTGGTAGATTCAAGTTGATGTATATAACTAAGGCAGGCTTGAATCATTATAGATTTATAGTTGCCAATAAGGTATTAACAATTATAACAGTGTGATTTTTAGATAGGTATACCAGCGCCAGTCAATCGCACAAATTCTGTTTGGTCAAATCGTTTTGAGTAAAACGAGATCGCTTGATCCTCTTCTTCATTCCTGTTAATGACTTTTGGTTTCTCACTGAGTTTTGTTTGTGGTTATCACCACATGTTATTTATGTTTTATTTTCTTTCCTTTTGTAGTATTTTGTTTTGTGATATTAGTGCTAACTAAGTTAGCAACACGTTCATTGTTGTATCATTTATCTTACTTTTCTTTCTAACCACGTGCTGCAAGGCAGCTTATATATAACCATAGATTATGTAAACGAGGGATCGTTTTCATTAAGTATTATGGTCACGAACTCCGTGCACCACTACTTGATTATAAAAATTGGCGATGGTTGACGTAACATTACTATTTTATGTAAGTGATTTTTAAAATTGTAGAGTTCTTATTTAGTTATTATATCGTAAAATGTTTACAGATATATAATAAAATGGTTTTTATATTTCATAATTTTAGCACACTTGAAATACTTTTGCAGTGAATTAAAAGATTTGCTGTTTATTTATTTAGAGTTCACAGTTTTAAATTTTAGTTCCGGTTAAAAAGGAAACTAAAGATTCTTTATGTACATATATATTTTTCCAAAAGATTTAATCTGAAGCAATCTGAATAGTATTATTTATTGTAAAAAGATAGTTTCATAAAATATCTATATTTCAAATAACGCATAGTAATTCCAGCATTTTACCTAATATAAAGAAATTCCAGATTAATAAAGAAAAATATTTTTCTATTTATTTCAATTTGTTATACTGTATAAGTAAAAGAACTTTCTGGTGTTGATATCGACACATTCTCTCATCCTCATAAATAAGTTTCAAGGTAGTGCAATCTTTATACGAGTGTTGATGTTTTCTATATTCTATTAAATTGATAGTTTACTGAGGTACAGAAGAATATTTATTATGTCGTTTATCATCTAACTGACGGTGTTAGTATTACTCTTTCTACTTTGTGAATATTTTAAATGTAATACAATGTTTTCTTAGTTTATCTAGGTTCAGATGGTCTTTGTATGGGAAATGGAAACTGTCGATAACATTTTAGATAATCAGAGACTATGATTGTTATTGGACTCTAACATTTACTATTCTTATAGTATTTTTACAATTTAAGCTCTAAATATACGATTAGATATTCTACATATATAAACATTAACATTACTACCGCAGTTTAACTGAATAATTATTGTAACTTTTACTATTTAGATTAAAATTATCGTTTCAACAGCAAAGCTTTAACAAAAATTGATGTAAGCTACGGATTATGAGAAATTAATTTCTATGTAACAATAATAAAATAGATTTTATATAAGGAAAAGAATCTTACCAACGCATTCAAATATGTAATATAATGCGCAAATAAATATGTACACTACAAATAAATAATTGAAATAAAAATTAAAGACTAAAGCAGTCACTTTATTCATAACCCTTATTCTTATAAAATATAAAATAACATCGATTTAACAAAATTGCTACAAAATAGGAATATATAACTCTATAGTAGGAATATATATTTCAGAATCTATCTGGAATTAAATTAATGGCCATACCCTAAAGTGCATTTTATTTTATAAAATCTATTCAACTTGCGGTAAAAATAGATTCCATTTCATTATGTATAGACTAAATATAAAATTAAGTGAAAATAATTTGATTTACACTACAAATATGAACAGAAAAAAATAGTTTTTTATAGTGAATACTGTTAATTACGAATATTGCAGAATTCCACTACACATTTGAAGAGGACGGTAACGGTAACGGTATGCCTATCATTACTTTAGAAGTTTTATCAAATTCTTCACGAGGTGAATTTGCTCCAGAGGATATAGTAGAAGTTGAACAAAGTACGCTAGATTCTATAGAGAAAACGGGAGTACATTTTTTGACTGAAAAATTACAAGAAAATGAGAACAATGATAGTAAAGATCAAGAAACCCCCAAAGATATTCCAAAAGCACGACATGATTTCTTAGAATATATGACGAGAAGTGACGGCAGTGTAATTTGTAAGCTCTGTGGGGAAATTCTGCAGAGTCGAACTCACTGGTATAGGCATAAATATAAATTACATGTGATACAGCCGTTAAATCCAGCGCCATTGTTTCAATGCGAACAGTGCTTAGTATATTTTAAAAGTAGAAAAGGTTTGTCATACTTACATATTATTTTCAGTATATTTAGACATTCATAAATAAAACATGTTTCAATATTATGTAGGAAAACTAAAATACTACCAATAAAAATAATTTGTAAGTTGATGTTTTAGGATACATTGGTCACATAGCAAGCAGGCACAGTGAAGTCTTGAGTGACTCTAGCCCCGTCCTAACAAATTCACAGGCTGAGGCACTTTCGAAACAAACAAATATCGTAGAAACTGAAGCTAAGGAGGAAGTAGATCCAGAAATGGCTATACCAAAATCAAGTGTGCCAAACTATCAAAATAATGGCAAACAGTCGAAAAACTTATCAATAAACACTACGGATTTAAAAAAGGCCTGTAAGGGCACTAAAGGTAAATCATTTTTATAATTCACTAGCACTGCTCGCGGCTCCGCCCGCGTTCAGATGACCAAAAACCAAATTCTTAGGTTTTACATATTCTTACAATGCAGTTTTTGTATTTTTTCTCAGAAACGAGATATTTTCCCGCGGTAAAAAGTATCCTATATGTTGACCCGGATAACCAGCTATCATCATACTAAATTTCATCAAAATCTGTCCAATGGTTATCTCGTGATGCGGTAACAGACAGACAGATAGACAGACAAAAATTCTAAAAACTATAGATTCGGACTCTGTATCGATAATAATCTCTATTTCAATTAGATTTTCCATAAAATATTTAATGTACAGATTCGACTTAGTTACAATTTTATTATATGTATAGATAACATGCTTTGTAACTTGTTATACCTATACAATGTTTTTCCTAGTACCTACCTAGTAGTAGATATGGCCGAGATTGTAAATTTGTAATGCTTTAGACATGGTGAAGTCCGTGTATTTGCTTATTTCAATTTCGTATTTTATTTAGCTTTATATTCGCACTAGCAGAACTCGTGGCATTGCTTATGCCAAAACTACAAAAAAAGGCATTTTTGAAATCTCGTCGATTTCAAAAAAGTTTCTTAGCTAAAGGATTTAAGATATTATAAACTTCAGTTTTACAGTAATGTATGGAAGTCTGTCCGATTTGTTGACATTTATTATTACTGCTCCGCTCCCTTGGGTCAATGAACGGGCTATCTAATGCAAAAATAATCTTTCACATCGGTTTAGTAGTTTATGAGATTAGCGCGTTCAAACAAAAAAACAAACAAACTCTGCTTCTTTATAATATTATTGTGTATCCAGTTCTTTTCTCGTATCTTTTTTAGTGTGGTGCGGTCAAACATGAAATAGACAATTTTATTTGATATCTTTATTGCATATTGCATATCTTTATTGAATCTTTTTATAGTAGATGGTGTTGTGCAAAAATAAATCGCGTTTGGGTGCATTTTCTTGTTAACGCTCTGACGATTTTACAACGCTGTCGTCGATCTGCATAGATTTTAACATTAAAAATTACCATTAGATTCTCCTTCTTCTATTACAAATAAATATAAAATATAATTACAAAGAAAGCGTAGAGTTTTGTCGTCGCCGTCGTTTGTCGTAGGTATCACATGTCCAAATTAAACATTCCAAACTTATTCAAATACTGAACCAGGTTATTTTAAATGATGATATCAAGTACCGATACAATGTTTCCGCATTTATAAGAAACCCGAAAATTTAAATTTAAATGTGAAATATCAAATAACACTTGGAATGATTTCCAAAATTCGTAATGTTAAATATTTTTTACACCACCAGGTCGGGGACGTGAATTGCTAGGGCTGGTGATATAGTGAACTAATTACAATTAACATAATTTTGAAGTAGGAGCACCTTTTTACAATTACAAAATGGTATGTTAATAATATATGATTTCAGGCGATTTTAATAATAAGCCTGAGATCGATTGGGAAGAAAAACGATCGAAGGAGGAGAAGTTGGTTGCGGATATAATAGATCGAGTAAGAAGAGAATGCGAGGCTCAAGGGTCAGGTGGACCCGCCCGCAGAGGCTACACCCGCAGAACAACCGTTATGCATACATAACGCTAAAGTACATAGTGTGCTAAGACTAAAGAAAGAAAAGTTCCTCTCGTAGAGACTAGGCCTATCTTATAAGGTCTTGTGAGTGCTCATATTTTGTGCCAATTTTTGTGTCAAACATTCATGCCAAAATTAGTCTAATTTAAATTAGTACATATTGATATTAATATTGTGTTACAAAAACTAAAGTTTAAATATAGATAGTCTTTACTAAAAGCACGGTAATGTTACAAATGTTACAACAGTATTCCATCTTCATACAAAAGGTCGGAAATCAAGTTATACCTACGCGCGTCGCGTTCGGTATACACTCGGTAGACAACCGTGCAGGGCTGCCACATCGTATAATTTGATACGAAAGTTTTATAAGATGGTTATGTTATGTAACTTTTATAGTTGGATACAAAAATAAACATTTTATTCCTCCCGTAACTTCGCTAATGTCAAACAAAAAAGTATCGAGACATCGTATATATAAAAATAAAAACTAATTAATTAAATTAAAAATAAAAATGAAAGTATTTTTAATTAAACTTTTTATCCGAATGCGGATTCTTTATACTATTAAATTTAACAATAAAGCTTTGCATATGTCTCAGTCGAGGTGCAAATATATTTAAATCTCAAATTTATAAGAGTCACATACCACCCTTATAAATTTGAGATTTTTTAATTAAATCTACTAATAATATTTTTTAAATAAAATGTACATTATTTGAAATCACAAAACTAGTAATCAAGTAGGTAGATGAAATTAAAATACTGGCCGGCGGGCACTCGGGCAGCCCTGTCGCGTGGGTACGTGCCGCTCGGCTGTAGGTAATTATTTCAAGGATAGGCCCGAGTTGGAATACTGTATGCATTACATTACCGTGCTAAAAGTCTTCGACGTCAAATCCATTTGACCCATGCCTAAATTCTTTGTATCGAGGCAGATTATGAGTATTTGTAAATGATCAATAATATAATTTAAAATTATAGATCATTTTTATGGGAATAACGTAGTATTTTATCTTCTCATTTTGTACTACGGGATAGCAATAATAGTTGTTCCCTACTACATTACAATTCTTAGTGTCATCTCCTCAAGTAAAGTTGAAAGAAAAATTGATTGTGAGTGTCAAATTTAAAAAATATATATTTATAAGAAAACTAGCAACTCACCCACGCTCCGCTCGGGTTCATCCCTATTTACGTGTTTTAATGTTTAGTATAAATTTCTCAGAGATGAGAAATTTGCCTGCAATAAAAGTATCCTATATGTTGACCCGCATAACCAGCTATCATGATACGTTTCATCAAAATCTCACCAGTAGTTATTCTGTGATGCGGTCGCAGACAGACAGACAAAAATTCTTAAAACTATAAATTCGGCCTCTGTATATGTATGTAATGATCTATCTGAATAAGATTTTCCGAAAAATATTTAATGTACAGATACGGCTTAGTTAGAATTTTATTATAAGTATAGATAAAAAATATATTATACTTTTACAAGGAGAAAAGCTAGAATAAATGCTACGCTATCTTCCCTACTACAAATAATTTAACATGTTGAAACATACAAATTTTGTTAATCAAAAACAAATTATAAAATGTCGGTTCCTATTCTGTCAGCCAAAAATAATTTGTAATACTTTAATGAAATTATTGTTGGAGAATATTTTATGAATTAGAATATTTAAACTTTAAGTAAGTATATTTTTTACATTTTGTTTTATCTTTATACATAACATGACGCAAGCGCATCTTTTAAGCATTAAATTTAAAGATCGAGAGTTGAGACTGGAAAGTTATTTAAAAAAGTTCACTATTTTATAATTGTGTTTCTAAAGCATATAAGTATGTATTTAAAGTATTATATTGTAAATAATGTTGCGTTTTTTTCTGTTACTGTCTTTCGTGGATCGTAATCGCTCGTTTAAACCTTAAATAATAATAATTTGCTTTTGTATTTATCTATGGAATCAAGGATTTTACGTGCTAGCAAGAAGTCCATATGCCACAGCCTCTATGATGACCTGAAAATTATCATTATTTTTATATTTAAGTACATTTAGTCTGTAGTTCAATCGTCTCAATATCAATAATTTTACTAGGGGAAACCCGGATAAAGTGACTATTTCTTAGTTAGGTATTACCTATTAAAAACAACACACGTACAAACATATAGGTATATTAGTTACCCTTATAATTGTCCAAAAACTCAAGTTGTGTTTGACACAAGTTGCGGTGCTCACTTAAGCACCGCAACTTGTGTCAAAGTTTTCCTTAGACTATGCTTGAGTATTTTATCTTGAGATTTATTTACCATCTGTAACAAAAAATATGTATAGAAAAATTATTGCATAATTTAAGATAGATCATGATGAACGGGCAACTAAATAAGTAATAAATTATAATTCCTTTGCCTTCCAAGAATGATTTTTTCTAATCTTGTCTCGTCTACAGCGTTAAAAGCTACATAAACATATGTTTATGTAGCTTTTAACACTATAATATATATTATAACGTCCTTAAAACCATAACTCCTAAAAATGTTGTAGTGAAAACTAAAGTATTGAGCGCCGTTTTTATAAAGAAGATTTTATTTCCAATCACAATCGTTTCATTTTACTGTAATCGCGTGACACAACTACGCACCAAAACACAACACCACTAATAATGTTAATAGGAAATATCCATACTTGGGTGCACATTTTACCCGGGTTTTTCCTATTTACGTTCTGTTTAATTTACGTAACGTTACGCGCATTTGGTATTCCAATGTAAATTGGCCAAAATTTTTATCACTGCATTTTTTTATAGTTTAAATTAAAAAAATATTGGTGAACCTATAATAATCAGAAAGAACTACCAGACATTTAATATGCGATTATAAATAATAACTATTACCTAATGTGTGTTGAGCGACTCCGCTATTCATAACTTCTTCTATTCTTACATTTCTAACATGTCTTCGTAGCTACAAATATATAATTAGAATAATATATTTTCTTATAACTAAAGTCTTAAATGATCATCTTTCTTCTTTATCTAGTAATAACCAGTAAAATTAGTTTAACTTTAAACACAAATTGTAGCTGTATATACGAATTATTCGTCCAAAATATCTTCAATAAAGAATTATTGTAAGTACCTATTTTCTTGTATCTGTTATATATGAGCTGAAAATGTATATATAATATAATATCAGCGAAAGGGCCAATCGCCTAACTTATAATTTAAAATTTATCGGGGCAATATTATTATATTTATGTACCTAGTTATGAAAATAATTTAGATAGTTTTACAAATTTTTAAATTACAAGCTCAAAATGATATTTGTTTACGTGTGCAATAATTTATAATTCAACCAATCTAAATGTATGTACCTAATTTCAAACCAATTGTTAAATCAATACCTACAATTGTGTGTATTATTACTTATACATAGATTGTCGGCCAAAAAAAATGTTATACGAAAACTGTGATGAATGTGGCTCAGATAATAAAATAATAAGCAAAGTCGAGTAAAAATGTAATCTTATTTTTAATTATAATCTACTTTTTCCCTCTGCTCTGCTTGCATGTTAAATGGGGCGGGGATAAAAGGTAAACAATATACGTCCTACTTAAATTCGAAATCTGTTCAACGGTTTAAGCGCGAAATGGTAACAGACAGATACATACTTTCATATTTATAATATTGAGTACCTAATTCGCTACCGGTAAGTCTTAATTAAATAACTTGCGGTTTATAAAGTTGTTAGTTAGTCTGACTTTGGTTATAAAAGTCGTACGAAAAGTCCGTTAAATTTATTCTTTTCTGGCTTTTATTCTCGCTAGTTTGGCTCTTTTAACTTCGCCAAGACATTTTACATGTCCTGGAGTTGATAGCTGGCAATTACAGTTGAGAGCTAAATAAAACTACAAAGGCATAGTAATATGAACTAGCGACTCTCCCTCGCTCCGCTCGGGTTCGCCCCTCGTTACGTTTTATTTTAACATTTAGTAAAGATTCATCAGAGATGAGATATTTTCCGCAGTAAAAAGTATTTTATACGTTGACCCAGATAACCAGCTATCATCATACCAAATTTCATTAAAATCGGCCTAGTGGTTTTCTCGTGATGGATTCCCAGACAGACAAAAAGTCTAAAACTATAGATTCGGCCTGTATCGGTAATAATATCTATTTCAATAAGATTTTCCAAAAATATTTTATATACAGATTACTACTGTTATCTCAGAATTTTAATAAATGTATCGATAGATATCTTAGACCAGGGTCGATAATTTTTAAAACCAAAAAAAATAATAGTAAGATGCAACCCATTAGAAAAGGAGGGGAATATTATAAAAATGAAAGGAAAAATAATTTACGGGCGATCTGAGGTCGGGAAGGGGATGGGGGTCAGTTTTTAAGGGTAAAAAACAGTTTTTCTCGATATCCGGCAAAACTAAAAGTCCTATCGAAAAAAGTCATATGGCAAAGTTATAGGTAATAAAAAGATCTAAAACTTTTGTATTTACACTTTTTTCACATAACCTCAAAATTTATGTGAAAAAATAAAAAAAACCAAGTTTTTGGTTTTATATTTTTATCTTTTACAAAAAAAAATTTTTGTTAACGAAATTTGGTGAAAACATACCTTTTTATGTCCCAAATACGCTGTAATTTATTTGATTAAAAATATTTATTTTTTCACCTTATTTTGAATTAATATCGAAAAAGCACCCTCATTTTCAATCGAAAATTCACCCGTCAAAATATCAGCTTTTTTCAAAAAGTTGGTATGTTTTCTGTTCGTTGAAATCTCTACTTTCCGATGGTGAAAAAAAATACATGTTACTATAGTAAATCTTCTGAGAAAATGCAAAAAACAAAAAACCTTTTTTATTTCATACACTTGCTTATCATCTGCCTTATTGCAGATGATACAAACAGATTCATCCATACTGATAATCTGAAAAGACAAAATCGAATTAATAATGCCTTCACTATTTTATCGTGAGTATACCCCCATGAAAAAAAATATTAAAGTAATAAATGTCAAAATGTATAAAAAATATATTATAAATATATTAAAAATCTATAATAAAATATATGAAATATACATGAAAATCGGCCAAAAGTTAGTTATTAAAGATTTATTTACTATACATATTTTTTATATATTTATACATTTATTTTAGATTTTTAATATATTTATAATATATTTTTTATACATTTTGACATTTATTTCTTTAATATTTTTTTTTCATGGGGGTATACTCACGATAAAATAGTGAAGGCATTATTAATTCGATTTTGTCTTTTCAGATTATCAGTATGCATGAATCTGTTTGTATCATCTGCAATAAGGCAGATGATAAGCAAGTGTATGAAATAAAAAAGGTTTTTTGTTTTTTGCATTTTCTCAGAAGATTTACTATAGTAACATATAATTTTTTTTCACCATCGGAAAGTAGAGATTTCAACGAACAGAAAACATACTAACTTTTTGAAAAAAGCTGATATTTTGACGGGTGAATTTTCGATTGAAAATGAGGGTGCTTTTTCGATATTAATTCAAAATAAGGTGAAAAAATAAATATTTTTAATCAAATAAATTACAGCGTATTTGGGACATAAAAAGGTATGTTTTCACCAAATTTCGTTAAAAAAATTTTTTTTTTGTAAAAGAAAAATAAAAAACCAAAAACTTGGTTTTTTGATTTTTTCACATAAATTTTGAGGTTATGTGAAAAAAGTGTAAATACAAAAGCTTTAGATCTTTTTATTACCTACAACTTTTCCATATGACTTTTATCGATAGGACTTTTAGTTTTGCCGGAAATCGAGAAATACCGTTTTTTACCCTTAAAAACGGACCCCCATCCCCTTCCCGACCTCAGATCGCCCGTAAATTATTTTTCCTTTCATTTTTATAATATTCCCCTCCTTTTCTAATGGGTTGCATCCTACTATTATTTTTTTTCACTTTTTATTATTTTTAAAGGCTTCTACCCTGGTCTATCTATACAAATTACAAACAATAACATTCTAGATCCTCCATAATTTAATAATCTTTATTGCAATACATTTAATGGGTAAGAATTTTGTCTTTTTCTTCCGCCAGATGTCGCTATCACTATGATCCTCAGTATGTTGTAAAGCTCTATCTATGGCGTGGAATTTTGATTGTCTTCATTTTATTTAAAATTTAATTAAAATAACAAATTGTGCAGTTTCAGGATGCATAGAAAATAGATATGATTTGTTCCCAAAAGACAAAAACTGGAAAAATTGTGGGCTAAAGCAATAAGACGACCAAAATTGACCAAATTATAATCTTTATATTTAAAGCTATGTGAGCATCATTTGAGAGAAAGTTATTTTAAAACTGCTAAATCGTGACGTAAAGCAGATGATTATTTTTGTACTTTTTTACATATTAGTTACGGAGTTTCATACAAACTTAAATCAACCTTTTTACCCCATTATGGAATTGAATTTCGAAAAATGCTGAAACACGTTTTTATTTAATTGTATTGAAGAGCAATAATATCAAGTTTCAAGTTATTCTAATCACAAATAATTCTTTGCCCATATGCCCATATAAACTATTATCCCCTTTTAGTCCTATAAAGGGATGAATTTCGAAAAAAAACAAACAAATGTATTTCTTATTTTTTATCTTAAAACTAAACACAACTTTTTGTGTATTTCACATTAAGAATGACAGTTTCATACAATCCTTAATCCCCTATTTTACCCACTTAGGGGATGAATTTCGAAAAAATCTTTCTTATCGAAAGCCTCCATCATATAAGGAATACGTCTTCCAAATTTCACGTTTCTACGACCAGATGTTTAGGCTGTGTGTTGATCCTTCAGTCAGTCAGGACCACAGTAGGATGTGCCTCTCCTTCTCATTTATCCTTCAGCTGGTCTAACAATATGTTGGTCCAAGTACAATACATTGTTCAAGTAAGATGGGAACATAATAGAAGTAAAAAACCAGGTATAAAAGAGATATCACAATAAATTGTTTAACCTCAGACTGAATGTAAGTAGGCCATATGTGTGGCGCCCTCCTTTGGAGATATCTTTTTTATTTGATAAATTAAATTAGTATTGGCAATGGCAACCTTGTCTACTTGATGTCATATAAGTCAATTAAAAGGAATGAAAATTGAAAAATAATAAATTTAAATAATAAATATTCCTTGTTGTTGTTCCTGGTCTGTGATTCCTAGCAGTAATACTTTAAATCAATCAATATTGAATAGATCAATTGCTTACAATTTAAAATATAGAATTTTCAAATGCACTATGCCACAAATTTTTCAAGTTTTAAGATGCTATAAGTGCTCTATTTTTCAGGTAAATTGTAACGCTTTAAGTTTTTCACAATAGGTGCTTGAGGCCACCGCCCTGCCAATCAGTCCAAATACAAAGAGAGAGAGAGAGTTCTATATATAAAATCATATATTTTATAGCTAACACTATATATTTTTTTAACAATATTCATTATGATTATTGTATTGGTTTAATTTAATGTACGACGTTTTTATTAATCATAACTAATTAATTGGATATGTATGAACACAAATGGATATTACTATAAGATTTGCATATTTTATATTTATCTAGATCCACCAAACAAGAAAAGACAATAAATGGGTGTGTAAAGTATGTGGTGAAAAACAATCTGTCAAAAGACACTATGGCATAGGTACAGGTAAAGACTGCAGAATGCATGTTCAGAAATTAAATAGCATGAGAGGTGAAAAAGAAGAAGCAATCAAAACATGTATATCAGATGATGGCGATTGTGATGAGGCTTTGGAATGTAGTATGAAGAATGATGCAATGAACAATAAATATTTAATAAACAAAAAAAGTAAATGGTCGACATATATTGAAGAGCCTCAAGATGTTGACTCAAATACTCCTGAGTACATTGACAACCTGGAAGTAGTATTAGAAGTGCCTCAAAAACGTAAATTGAACAAAACATATAATAATAATACTAAATATTTTAAACAATGGGAAGATTGTGCAAGATCTTTTAAAACAAATAATTGTGATAACTTTGAAAGTATATCATCAACTGAAATTAATTATGAAATCAAACCTACTGAGGCTCCTCCTCAAGACAATAATTTAAGTAGGATATCAGGTAGTATGCTTTTAAAGAATGACAAAAGTCTTAAACCTCAAAGTAATAATTTAGATAAAGAAAGTATTAAAAAAACATCAAAATGGGCTCAATTCATTGAAGATGATAAATATGAAACTTCTAATGCCGAAAATGTTGAAAGTTCTCCCAAAAAAGATTCTTTATTTTCATTATGTGATGACGAGGACATAGATAACATATTAGACTTATAATTATTTTATTATATAATAAACAAGTTCTAAGGTTTTCTATATTTTTATTAATAAAATGCACAGGATATTCCACAGACATGCCACAGACATTTACGGATTTATAAGAAATGCCAGGCCTCAGACTTTAATGTGCCTATGAAAACATCCTTATTTGTCACATGGCAACAACTTAATATCACTTTTTAATTCTAATAGAATAAAACACATTCTACAAACATACTCGTTTTTAACTATCTAATATCAGTAGTTTGGTTTAAAATGATGATTCTTCATATTTCTCTAGCGATATCTGTTAAGAAAAAATAAAAAAACTGAAAGTTAGATTTTATCATAGTCTTCTTCGTTAGAAAAAAACCTAGGTTAAATCTTTTAAAATTTATAAACTGGATCAACAAAACCATTTAGTTTTTCATCAAGTTTTATATAGAAATTGGTACTTCAAATTTAACTAAAATTTTAATAAAATAGGCTTTGAATTAAATTATAAAATTATTATTTAATGCTCAGAAACGAAAGATATTTAAAAATGAGGTAGCATGGTTTATTGTCAACATTGAAATTTTGAAATTGCTATTTTAATTTAAAAAAGTTCCAAATATGCAACCTACTGATACAAAATAGTTTTACACATACAAATAATTCTATATAAAACTATTGTTTAAAAAAATTGTTAAAAAATTGCAGTCTCTAATGAGAAATATTTAAATTGTTATAGATTGTAAACATTAAAATTGCTATGAACTAACATTTTATATAATACTTTATGGTAGCAATGCAATAATCTAAGACCTTACATTTTTCTATAAGTCGCTAAAAGAAAGTTATTATTTAGAAATATGACATGTTTAGTAATTAACAAAATTATAAGGAACAAAATAAAAATTTTCAATTAATGAAAATTTAAAGACCTCTATTAAAAATGACAGTATAGTACTTAGGCACGGTAGAAAAAGTTTAACTACAAGCTTTTACGCTCAGATAAATGTATTTTATAATGATTAATGTAAGTATACATTGATAATATTGGATTATAATAGGAAGCCCTACTAGATTCGATGTCTAACAATAGCCCATCTATCTGTTTTACCTTCTGACACAAACAGTACATCACTTTTTCTATTTTTCTCGATTCAAATACACCAGAAGCAGTTATACAATTTCACACTTGAAAACAAAACTTCTAATAAATTATTTTAATTCGACTAGAACGCCGTCGCATGTCGGCGCCGGTGTAATTCCCTCGCTCGTGCGTATCTACGCCCGTAACCGCTCCATCGCCATGGCCTATAAATATAAATAAACTAGAATATTACGCCAAAACAATTTTCAGATATTCATTCTTATATCTTTTTCTTATTGGATAAGTAAAAACTTGGTTACTCGAAACCGGCTTAGCAGATTTTAATTGAACTTTTTTACTACCTATATAATACAGTAAATTTAATATAACCACTTTGGATTTTAATCGCTTAGCAGGTTCTACGCGTTTCCATATATCAAAGGATACATATTGTGGAATTAATAGTAGGTAGGTACAGTCACTAATAATTATATTAGTAGGTACACAATTACTATTTTAATAGTTAAATAGGTCACTTTTACTGATTATCAATGAGAACTTGGACAAAAGCTAAGCAAATATATATATTATATTTTTAGCAAATATATATACCTATTAAGCAAATATATATATATATATATATATATATATATATATATATATATATATAATGTTTTTAAAATTTTAAACATTTAATGTGAACAAATTCATACCTTCCACTGTAACCAATTGGTTTTCCTGTATTCATAAGGTCGTCTTCAAAGCGTCTGCTCAAGTCTTCTTCACTACCTGCTAGCAAAAGTGACATTGTTTTAAAATAGTTACGTGTTTTAGTATAGCGACTTTGCAATTTATGTGCATTTTATTTTAATTTGACGTATGTATATAACTTTTTTTATTAGTTATCTATAAAACATGTACAACCTCGATATTTAAAAATTCTGAAAATCAAGCATGAATTATCAAATTATATCAAAATGTACTTAACATATCACAGAAGATAGGATGAATAAGTGTGCTTTAATTTAAAGCATTGTAATTATAATGATAAAAAAGAAAATAACAAAACGATTTTTCCTTACGAGATAAATTTGAGTGTGAAAATCGTCTGCACGAAGGTCCTCGACAACTCAGTAACTGATGTAATTGGTTATGAAAGTATTCTTTCTCAGATGTCGTCAGATATTTAACTCTGTTCTGTGTTTCAAATGGATCTGTAAGAAAGAAAAATCTATCAAACTGAAGATCTATATAACTCGAAATAATATTTAAAATGCATTTAATACCCACATCCAAAGACCAAAATATAATAAACTTAAATATAAATAAATGCAGCGTTAGTCAAGCGGGATTTGAACCTACGAACATATATCTAGATCGTATATGTAAGTTGATGCCCCCGAGATACTTGCATTACGATAAGTAGTAAGCATAAAAAGCCATATAAGAATTAAGAACTATTCTACATAAATGTTTTTTCAATATTCAACCCTTTTGCATGAATATGTCAATTAAACTCGGGAAACGGTCGGTAATGATGTTAAGGGTAGTCATCCCATTAACCTTCACATGGATTTATCTCTACCAGCTAGTCAGCCTCTAATTTATTATTTGCTATACTTTATAAGGTGATCCCTAATTTATTATTTACTAGCGACTCACTCTCGCTTTGCTAGCGTAACCCTAGGTACGTTTTAACGGTTATGAGTTGTTGTGGGTTGTATTATAACGTGTTTTCCTGTGAGACTGACATAATCTCCGCGGTAAAAATAAGCCTATGTATCTCTCTCCACACAAAAAATCACGCTAATTCGTCGCTCAGTTTCAACGTGAAAGAAGGACGAACAAACACATTTTCATATTTATAATATTAAAGTATGGATTTTTGTGTTGAATATACATAAATGTTAATTATTTTAAAAGAGAAAATAGATTTTCGTCTTTTAAAATTAAACTTCGAATGCGTCCACTCGTTCTTTGCTTCTGGGACCTTCAAACTTTACATCTAATTCTTTTTGTAAGATAAGTATATACTTTATTATTATATTAGTTTATAGATAGTATTTTATATATATATATATATATATATATATATATATAAAAATATGTCAAATTTTTGTACCATCAAATATGTAAATAATATATTAATAGAAACTAAATGCAGAGAAACATTTACTCATTATTTCTCTTATAAGAACAAAATAAATTTACATACCAATACGTAAATTGTAGTAAGTGACCAATCCAGTAACAAATTCGCAGTAAAGTAGATTGTGAGTGGCGTTAATAGTCCTGACGCAGTTGTACGTGTTGTTTGAGGAGCTCATGCAGAAACAGAAAGGCCCGGCGGTCCAGAGCGGCGCGGTGTGCCAGTGGTCGTTATCATGACGAAAACAGTTCATTCGTTCTGACTCACATAATCTTTCTAATTCAGCCTGAAAGTATTTATTTTTTAAGTTAGGTATTCATAAAGAAGGGATATTTTATTTGACCTTTTTTATTTTTTTATATAAATACTACAAAGTAAAAATGATAAAATATGACGACACAAATATTAATATTCTTAAGCGCCTTGAAAAAGGAGTAGGTATTTTAAATAAAATTATCTTTTCGGATTTTTTCGCGAATTTATTTTAATTTTTAAATAAATAATATTCCATATTCAATTATAAATTAATTAAAATTATAAAAATGTTTAATGTTAAAAAATAATGTAAGGTACTTTAGTGCCATTTCTCAATTTTTTTGAATTTATTTCGTTATTTGTGGGTAGGCTGTCTGTATAATACCTTTGAGACATCTAACACCTTAGTCTCTCCCGTGACCATGATTGCTGTAAAGCATTCGAAACGTCGGGAACCAAAAATTTAAATATATTCGCGAAAAAATCCGAAAAGCTAGTTTTATTTAAAATGTCAAATATTCGCGTAAATCTAAGAATGTATTATTTGATTTGTCTATAGGTACCTACCTATTTTTTTAAAAATAGTAGATTTTCTTGATTCTTATTTTAATGCATAGGTTAATCTTCAAATTCAAGCGACATACATAAATTTCAAAAAAATCTACCCCTAAGATTAAAAAAATTACCTACTTATTAAGTAATTTTAAAGTTTCTGTACTTTTCTTGTTCAAAAGTATTATATAATGATAGGATACCGACCTTCTTCTTTGCTTTCCTTAACTTTTTTCTCAACCTTTGTTCCTTTAATTTCCTTCGTTCCTCTCTAGCTTTTTGTGCGGCTTCCAAATAAGTATTAGTAATTGGTTTTATTTTGCTAAAAGTTAAGAGTGTAAAATTAATTAATTTGTATCGATTTCGTATTAATTTTATTTTAATAACTATTTAAAAAACCACATCGTATATTGTGGTAAATAAAAACGAAGTATAATTTAACGTAACTCGAATACTATATTTCTCAATACATTCTCTAAAATAGAACTTTACTGAGTCTCTAACTACCCGTAAATATATAAAGCTGTCGAACTTATTTGATTGACTACAAAAATGGTAAAAGATAGGTATACTAATATTACTAAGTCAAAGAATTTTTTTCGTTTCCACGCGCTCTAGAAATAACAAAGAGATTTTTTTTTAAATTTTTGTGCATTATATATTTATTGAGCTAGGGTGAGGCTTACTAACATCACGTTATGATCTTTAAAGAGAAGAACAATTATAATTAAGTATAAATAGACTATGTGAATAGAGACGTGGACACGGGCTAAAATTAGACTTTATATTAGTTTAAGTATTTATAGAGAGAACTCAAAATATTTTCATTTTAATTTTGCTTTATTTTTTAATTAGTTTAATATGTCGTTTATCATCTAAAAAAGGTAAAAACTTACCGGTCTTCCTCACAATAACACACGTGCTTATCTTCATTCTCGATAAATAAAGGATGGAGTCTCCTTTGAAATACATCTGGCGGATTGCTGAATATTCCATTATTATTGTTCCCTTTATTCGGGTTTCTCTGCTCGTATTCTGATGCGTCTAGCCTTTTTGGTCCTAATAAAGAAGTTTTTGGCTTTATAGTTGGTTTGTTTGTTGTTGGATGTACCGTTGTAGGTTTGTGCGTCGAAATGACTTTATCAGCCGCTGTATTATAAAAATGAAGCGCGGTAAAAAAGTCTGTAGGAGTGGTTTTCCAATCATTTTCTTTTTCACTTTTTGATTCATCTATATTATAATTATGTGTTATAAAATCAGTAGTAACGATACCTTCAAAATTAGTCGTACTTGTTCGCTTTTCTGTTGGATTTTGGCTAAAATTTTCTAATGGTGTTGTTTCTTGAGGCTTTGGTAGTTCCAATATATATGTTTGATTCGTCGCGATCGCTATATCGGAAATATTTAAGAATTTCATTACTGTTTCTGTTGACGTTTCATTTCTTATCTGTGCATCAAAAATGTCATCTTTTACGTTTGCATTCGCTGTTGGAATAATGTATTCGTTGGATTGTCTGAATTTCTTATCAAATGTCCCATTTCTATGTTTTGTTTTTACTCTGTGTAATCGGGTTTTCCTTAAGCTTTCTTTACTATTAGTTTCAGGATGTATAGTCTTATTATTAAAAGTATTAGTATATGTTGGGCTTATTGGTTGTACTTCTACCACTGGTTTACTTATTTTCAAATGCCTCTTTATTTCCTTTAAGTCTTCTAATTTCGTTTTCAACTCCCTTATTTGGTCTTCTAAGCTTAATCTATTCGTATGCCACGCTTTCAAATCATTATAAATTACTTGTGAACAATTTACTTGTCCATCTTTTTCTATCTTACATTCTAATGATGATTCATTATTGTTTAACATTGGATCATTTCTATGCTTATGTTTATTATGATTAAAATGTTGAGCTCTCCTCTTAGTTCTCTTATGATCTCTACTTTCTTTGGTACGTTCATAGGCTTTAAGGAATGCTTCGGTTTCCTTTATAAGTTTGTCGATCTTGTTCTCGATATTTCTCTTCTCTAACTCATCAACGGGCTCGTTTTTAAAACTTAAGTGCCCAATACTGGGATTTTCTTCGAGAATAGTATCTACGGTATTAGGTTCAAAAACATCATTGTTAATTGACCTTTTGTTTCTTGTGACGTTTTCCTTTTGAATGTCAAGAGGTCTTCTAGCGATTGTACCATCTGTTTCTAGCCTCGTATAAACAAGTCCGCTAGGTGTGAAACAAGCACATTTCTTTGTACTCATTTTTGGCTGGGTACTAGCATCCGGCTAAAACATGAAATAGATTTGATGAAAATTGATTATATTCCTACTATTTTTAACGTCACTTTGTAATAAAAACTATAAGTTTCGATAGATAAACAATGTTTTTTTGTTTCGGTGGTGTCAAGGTCGTACAGCTTTACTTACATACTAAGACGAATAGTTTTTTGATTAATACAAATATCAATTCATGTATTCACATTTACTGTACTAGTATCGCATTTAAGGTAAAAAGCAAAGACCGGATTTATTAATAGATTCTCTGTAAGTCCCCATAAAATTTTATTCAAGAAGCAAATAATAATTAATGATAAGTACTAACCTCATATTTACATTTATGTTTTCTCCATCTACCATTCACAAGGACACATTTCCACTTCCGTCCAACAGAACACGGTGCTCGAAGTTCAGCTTTAGAACATTCAGCTGCTAAGCGCGCTGCTTTACCACTCATACTGGTTGGATCTATTTCTGAAATTATTATTTAAATGCTATAAAAAGCAGATTCTATTTTGAGAGCTTCATAGTTTTTTCCAAAGTATAATTTAAGTAGTAATACGATGACTACTTTGTTAAGTAATCAACAATTTAAGAGTTTTAGATTAAAATCTATATAAAGCAGATAATATATTCATCTGTATTATATAAAAGTCATATTTTTAGGTAGTGCAAACGACTCGCATGAGTCTGATTTTTAGTCGAAAAATATCAAAAAAATAAAAAATGAAAAAGATAAATAAAAGCAATTTAAAAACCTACCAGATGTCATAAGATAATTATTGGTACCAGATTCTTCAGCATCTAAAGCTTTTTCCAAACTGGCTTCTAATATTGGATTGTGACTCTCATTGGAAATAAGAGGCTCGGACAATTTATTGGTTCCCTCATTAGTTTCTACACTCTCCTGAGAATTAATTATAAAATTATATTTTATTAAATAAAACTATCTTTTCGGATTATTTCGCGGATTTATTTTGATTTTTGGTTCCCGACGTTTCGAATGCTTTACAGCATCCATGGTCACGGGAGAGACCATAGAGTATATTGCTACATATATAAAGGAGAGACTGAGGTTCCCAGTTTATAACTATACTCTTTGGACTGAGTGTGTAATTTAAAAAGTTAAAATTAATTAAGGATTATAATTTTAATTTAGTTTGCTATTATTTAAAAACAACTTACTAAGCAACACTATTAATATATACTTTTACAAATGAAATTTTTTTTCAAATATAAAATAAATAACACATTGAACAATTATATGGCTTAAATAATTAATACTATATTTTATATTTTTCTTTATGGTTATAAATATAATAATGGCAACACTAAATATAGATTACTAATTAATATTTTTTAAAATTGTAATAATTATAAAAATAATAGCAAAAATTAAATAAATAATTTTCCATATTCAATTATAATTAAAATTATAAAAATGTTTAAAGTTAAAATATTGTAATGTAATTGGTGCAATTTTCATTTTGTTGATTGTGGGTAGGCTGTCTGTAACAACTATATCTTTTGAGACATGTAACACCTCAGTCTCTCCCGTGACCATGGATGCTGTAAAGCATTCGAAACGTCGGGAACCAAAAATCAAAACAAATCCGCGAAATAATCCGAAAAGATAGTTTTATTTAATAATGTCAAACATTCGCGTAAATCTAAGAAAAAAATATATTTTCATAATCTTTATTTTTCATTTCCGTCATTTTACATCATTAATTGGTCTAAAAGCCCAAAATTAAAACATTCAAATATGCACGTAAATTTCTCCTAAAATCCATTGCCACTTTGAGATATAAATTCCCTGAAATGAATATTAATATTAACCTTGTTGCATTTTAATTTTATGGAACAATGTCGCACTTAATGTTACGAAAATAAATGTTTTACGTCATCATACATTATTAAAAATCATAAAACAGTGATTATTATTTTTCTGTAAATTTTAAGCTGTAAAATGACTGAATGAATGTAAATGACGGAATCGCTATTCTCACATTATCGTTATCTTCATCATCATCGAGCTCCAAAAAGTCATCGTCAGAATCATCATCAAAGTCGCTACTCTCCGAAGAAGTTTCTTGTGGCTGTGCAGTAGTAGATTTATCGTTCATTTCCCGGCTATATTTCAGTGCTATATGCGCTTGGGTTTCTCGACGTCCTGAGCTGTATAAACATATAATTAATTATATATTTAAGATATTTTTTGTATTTTTAAGCAAATCATCAGTTTCGTGAAAATTTCGTAGGTATAGAAAACCGACGCGTATCACAGTTAGCCCTAATAATATTAAAAATTTAATATTAATATTAACAAAAGCCAAAAAAAAACGCAAATGAAGTTTACATCTTCATGTTAATAATTTAAATTAAATCTTTAAATTAGGAATTATCATCTCATAACTATTTATTAGCTGTACTCAATTTTTTATCAAACACAACCTTCCTACCTTTCTACAAGGAAAGTATCTGGCCAATGAGCGGTAGCTGCTCTCCTTCGCCTCGGTTGCAATAAAGGCAACAACGACCTCCCATCCATATGTGCCGGAGGATCCACTCCTCCCATATCCAAAAACGTTGGCGCTAAATCTATATTGAGTACTATGTCATCTACGCTGAAAGTATCAATTATTGAAAATATAATAAGATGGTCTTTAAAAGTCACTTAAAAAGTTAGTTCCTACATATAGGTACATGAGTATGGTTTATGTAAATAACAAATGTAAGTGTTGATATTTTAGAATATTAATATAAAGTAAATACGCGTAAACATACAATTTTTAATAAGTCACAGTTTAAAACCTTTAATTCAATTCTTCTATTTCGTGGCTTCTAGTTCTTTACTTTAATGTCAATATCTCACAATATAAAAGCATATATGTACTCGTATATGTAGATACATTAAGTCCTTAATAGTTTTTAGCACACTGGGATTACGTAAGATAAAAATAAATAATATTTTTTTGTCATATACTTACACAGTGCCAGGTTCAACTCCAGGACCGCGAACAAGAAACGGTACTCGTATATCGAACTCGAAAGGAAAGCTTTTGCCTTTAACCAGTCCGAACTGACCTAGATGGTATCCATGATCTGATGTGTATACTAGGTACGTGTTATCTAACTCCCCTAGAGCTTTGAGTTCCTGGTACACTCGTTCAACTGCCTGCAATTTAATAGCCGATATGATCGTTTTACTATCTTAGTTACGACTTGAGTATATCTAACCATATTTATTGTGTGTGAAACTAGCAGTACTTGTTTTTCTTTAAACTAAATAAAAAAAGTATGTAATGGCCTTTTTAACATTAATAATTTTTGATAGCATTGATTATAAGAAATTTTTGAACACTTAAAACCGTTCAACATACCATATCTACACTCTGTAGTGTCTGCAATCTCTTGGTCATTAGCAAATCTGTAAATTGTCGGTGAATTGGTTTCATTTTTTCCGTTACGCGTAATATCCATTGTTTGTCAGGATTCGGTGCCATGTCATAAGTTGGAGTGCTAAAAAGAAATCATTTTATAGGTACTATATGATCACATTATATTGGTATTATATGATCACAAATTATACTTCAGAAATATGTAGGCATTCCTACAAGAAGATATTTCCATTAATTAGATCATATTATCTGTGATTCAATTCATATAATTTTATTCACTAGCGAAGATGGATAATAATATGAAATGTTTGCAAAGCGTAGCTAACACAGATGAGAGGAACAATAGAGAATTATGCAAATATAATTAATTGACCTTTTGACCGCCGCTGCAGCATGTAACATAATTTTGTTAATTTGACATATGTTCATCTATACATATAATAAAATTGTAACTAAGCCGAATCTGTATATTAAATTTTTTTGGAAAATCTTATTGAAATAGATATTATTATCGATACATAGGCCGAATCTATAGTTTTTAGAATTTTTGTCTGTCTGTAACCGCATCACGGAAAAACCACTGGAAGGATTTTGATGAAATTTGGTATGGTGATAGCTGGTTATCCGGGTCAACATATAGGATACTTGTTACGAGGGAAAATATCTCATTTCTGAGAAAAGATACAAAAACTGTAATTTAAGAGTATACTAATATGTAAAACCTAAGAATTTGGTTTTTGGTCATCTGAACCCGGGCGGAGCCGCGGGTTAGTACTAGTACATAATATTTGCATGCCTTTACCACATATGCTTCCTAAATCGATATTTAAATCACCGGTGTCGACAACTTTATAATGAAACCGCAAAAAAGACACAGTCGGTCTGTGACCACAGAAAAGAAGCAGGAATTATGTCTGCCTTTTTTGTGTCCTGTTGTAAAGCAAAATGATCGTAATAAATAATATTATGAAAAAATGTGTAAGATTAATATTTCATTTTGTGTGAAGACCGTATAATTCATTTGATGTAACATGAATTGAGTAAGTGCTTAATCATTTTAAAATATTGGATCCTTTTAACATTTTAGAATTATTATAAAAATATTAGATGTGTTTTAGTGACGACATTTTAGATAAATTAAATAAGTATTAATTATATTACAGGGGAGGCAGTGGTAGTCTGGTGGTAACTCACTTGCTTGGGAAATCAAAAGAAGCGGATTCAAATCCAGGGGCTCGAACGTCTGATACTTCCATATTGACTTAAGGAAAACATCGTGAGGAAATCTGCATATCTGAGAGGGCAAATTTTCGAAGGACGTGACGTGAAGTACGCCAACCCGCACTTGGACAGCGTGGTGGACTATGACCTAATACCCCTAGTATTGAAGGGAGACCCGTGCCCAGTAGTGGGACGTTAAACGTGCTAAGTAACAAACAGGTATTTCACAAACAAGCTTTATTTTACAATACCTACTATAATCAGTTAGAATTTTTAATTGAAAGGTATTCTTAAGTTATCTCACCGCGATACGAATCAATAATAAAAACGCCGCCTTTTTATATAGAATACTCGAATTCAATTTATTATTTTCTTTTGTTTCAGATATAATGAGTGAAACTTTTTTATTGATGTTTATTTTTTTTATTATAGGCGCCTTACCCCCGAACAGGTTTGGCGACCACACAAAGAGCCAGCGGTTGGTCCAGAGTTCGACACCGGTTGTCGGCGCCGAGACTTCGCATGCCGTCGCGTCGAATGCACATGCAATTTGTTGTTTTAAAAAACTATCAATACTCATAACAAATACTATTAAGCCAGACAGACATTGTCTTGTTCCAAATTCAATAAATTTAATAATGATTTTTCTTAGTCATTACAAAAATTACATCGAAAAAAAGCAGTTTAACTCGAATTTCGCAATTTTCCGGACAAATTTTAAAATTTTGCATAAAATCTTATTTTACCAAAAACATTATTTCTGTTTTCATAATCTTCGGTAACCCCGTAAAACTTTCATAATTTGACCTTAGTTCGCTATGTATAGGAAATCATCATCTTCAGGCTTAATTGCCTATACCAAATTACTTATTTCCTATGTAAATAAGAATAATAGTAAAATATAATGAATTTATAAATTAAATAAGTCTTTTCGAAACATTTATTACATATTTTCTTAGTATTTTACTTTGAAGTATTTAAATAACTTGACATTCGTCTTTTTGTGACAGAAGCTCATTTCAAAATTGTGACAACATAACTGCCTAACTGTAAATAATAAGCTTGTGCGTTCGATGTATGTATGTATATACAAATATCAATACTACATACTTAATACATTAATCATATTATAATAATATTTAATTTAAAAAAAACAAAATGCAGTATCCAAAGCTTTTCGTACGCCGATCTGTCAGTTAAATTATGCGTCCACTGGTCAGTGCGACAAGCGAAATCAGTTTTTATAGTCTTGTCATTCTGATGTTATCCTAAATACGGTACTGGCTATTAAATTTACACTACTTATATATGTTAAAAATTCACATGATAAAAAGCTATGAATTTTACAAATATGTACGACAAAAATAATCTTACTTCTTACTAATATTATAAATATGAAGGTTTAGATCTTTGGATGTTTGTTACTCCATGTTTGTTACCAGAATGGCTGAACCGATCTGGATGAAATTTGGCATTATAGGCTGGAATAGCACATAGGTACTTTTTGTCCCAGCAAAATGTACGGTTCTCGTGGGTAGGATTTGGGTAGACGAACCCGAGTGAAGCGAGGGAGGTTTTAAAATTTTTGTTAAAACACTTTTTAGATTTCCCTAAAATTGACAGATAAAGTAAAACAATTGCCTTTGGACGACGTCACTTATATTTTAACTGTCACTATAAAGCATTCACAGTAGGTATAAGCTTTCAAATACATTATAAGTTATGTTCTTATCTGGGCAACTTTTCTAAGTACACTTATACCTGTAAGGTTTATTATTCATCTATGTTTATGTCATACACTCGTATGTAAGTCTGTGTCAATTTGTTCCTTTGTCGATATCTAATATATTTAAACGAGCAATTCTTGTGTGTTTTATATATATATATATATATATATATATATATATACACACTATAAGGCTATATTATCTGAAGCTTAGAAACGGATCCAACGATTTTCATGAAATTTAGTATACAGGGGGTTTCGGGGGCGATAAATCGATCTAGATTAGTCTTATGCCTGGGAAAACGCGTGGTCAAATACAGGTGCCTGGGTTCGTATCCCGGTCAGATACAAAGTTATTACTTTTTTTTATATTTATTCAAATTTTTAATTTGTTTTCTTTTTAAATGTTTTTTTGCCCAAAAACTCCGTGCGAAGCTCGGTCGCCCAGGTACTGCGTTATAAAGCGGCAAATATGGGAAAGAAATAATAACAGATAGAGTGTCTAATAAAAACGAACATAAACGAAGCCAGGTGAAGCTGCTAGCTATTTACATTTATTCCAAAAAATTAACGCATACAAAATATATTTGCAAATACAGTGAAATAAAGCACAAATATGTAAAGGATCTTGTTTTATTCGGCGTTGAAACAAACCGCGGTGGCTTTGTGACCAACCAGATATTTATCTTTAATTAATACTAATTTACATTAATCGATCTGCCGCCACACTACACGATCAGACCTCTGTATTTCAAACAAAAACATATTTAACAACCCAAAAGCATCTCGTTTCGATGCACGATTTTGCGTTTAAAATTATTCAATATTTTAATTAGCTAATAATGGATCCTCATTAAAGTCATGTAGATAGTGAGACCGGTTGAATGTAAATAAGTTGAATTTATTCTTTGTTACATAAATCTTATAGGTACCTTCGTTATTCAAATTGATATCTATCACACCACTATTATAAATGCCAAAGTATGTGTATATGTTTGTTAACTCTTCACGCTAAAATTGCTGGAACAATTTGTATAAAATTTATTGCACAAATTGACTAAGACTTGGAATAACGCATAGGCTACAGTGAGAAGTAAAATTTGCCAAAAGGTGGTGCTGATCATGCGCTAAAATATAAATACATTTTAGGTACATAATCTAATATATAAAAATATCGTGTCACGGTGTTTGTGGTCCCACTCCTCCGGAACGGCTCGACCGATTTTAATGTTTGTTTTGTATATTTGGTAGGTAAATCAAGGCCGCGGGTTCTACTAGTGTTATATATAAGAAAATCTATCTTACTTATATTATAAATGTGAACGTTTAGATGGATATTTGGATGTTTGTTACTCAATCACGCCAGAATAGCTGAATGGATCTGGATGAAAGGAGATAGATTATAGTCTTTTTATCCTGAAAAAATGGACGGTTCCCGTGGGATGGATTTGTTTTTGTTGTTCTAGAGGCGAACCCGAACGCTAGTGTCTATATAAGTCGCAAAAGGTTAGGGATGCACCCGAACCAAGCAAGGGTACGTCATTAGTCAAAAATAATAACAAATTTATTCTGTAAAGCTTTAAAATATTATATACTAATTGAAATATTTTCGAAGTCATTTGACGAAAGAACGTAAATGCAAGCTTTGACAACTTTCCTAGTGCGGGACACATTTGAATTTCACAAGCAATAACAAAGCACAGCTGTGACAATTTCTGTCGTCAGCATCCTGCGCTGTCTTCGCGAAATAGTCTATTTCCAAATGTGCGCCAATTCATGAATAGTGACAAATACAGAATATTAAATTCGCCGTCTCAAAATATGCAAACTCAAGTATTCAACACATAAATATTGTATATAAAATATTCCATCTAGTTCAACGTCTGTTTACATTTTAGAAAACATGGGCTGAGTGAAAAAGTTTCTTAACAATAAGGCACAGTACATACAAATGGAAAAAATATACCTAACAGTTATTTCACTAAAATCGAATTTTATACCTACTCATTTCCATATAAGACGTCTGAGGTATACATTTTTTTAAAAGTGCGCTGTTGATTACTAAATATAACAATAAAAAAGCTTTACGATAGAGATATTAAATAAAATATAATAGTATAGATATAACGCAGTAAATAAAATTTGATGTCCCAAAAAAATTTAAAAGCTTAGACCGTAATACCAGGGCTAAACATTCTTATGAAACATAAATCAGCAGCGAGGCTGAGTGGTGGTAAAATTATTCAGGGCGCTCCGTAAGTACGAAGTTGGGTACGCGAAATTTCCGAGTAGCGAAAAAAAACAAGGTCGGGCTCAAGGCTTAACATTTTTTATATGAATACTTGGTTCCGTTGATAATACGCGCCACACCCCACATCCAATTATGGACAGATTTTAGATAAGATTTAAGATGTTTCATGATCGTCATAGTATAGTGAGATATCCTTGGCAATGTCTACTATACCCAAGGTTGCACGTTCTTTATGTTATTTAATAAATTTACAACAGTAACATCTTTTATAAATGTATTTTCGGGATATAAACCATACATTACTAATAATCAGACAGTCGCGTTAACCAAGAAGGAAATTGTAAGATATGATTTAATTGTAGCACAAGTAAAATTATTCGTGTATTTGAAACATCGATGCTTTGTATGGGCTGGCATCGATTTCGAAAATATTTGATTAGGTATGTATTTAATAGGTAGGCTTTAATTACTTAGCCAAAGCACACCGACTTCGAAAATATTTGATTAGGTATGTATAGTAAATGAAAACTACCAATCAGTTATTTTTTACTTTTTAGTGCTTTTGTTTTCATTTAAATACTTAAGTATACCTAATACGAGTATATCAAGAATATCAAGATCTAGATCTATCTTTCCTAGATAAATTCTATAATTGGTTTTTAATTGAGATTATGAGTCAGAAAGTGACATTGGCTACTTTTTATCTATATGTATGTATATTGTTAATTGTATATGTGTGTATCTACCTAAAGTGGCTGCTGAAGAACTCTTAAATATAATTCAAAATTTTTAGTAAAGTATTTTTTTTATTTTAAATTATTTGTTCGATATTTATTAGACATGTCAGACAATTTTCTATAGTGGTGTTAGGGATCTCCGAAAGCAAACAACTTCCTAAATATTTTAAAAGAAGTAACATAGCTTCGACCGCAAAAAATCCCCAGCAATTAGTACTTTGTCAAAATGTTTATAAAATAATTTAACAACTGAAATTGATGTTTGATTTCATAACAATTTATTATTTTTGTTACATACTTTTTACTGATTTTAAATAAATAGATTTACTATCTCTTTTCTAAATTTGAAAAATAAATATTTACAACTTTGAATATTAGCAATTAAATTTCCAAGTATTTCAATACATATATCACGTGAGCCAGCTTAAGACTTAGTATATTGACTGAGGTTGACAATTTACGACGGTAGATTATTTCTATAAAGTCATGAAAGCAATAAAATGAGCTTCACTGTGATGTGCCATCCTTTTAAGCCTTGCTTAGGATAAGATGTATACGTGGGTGGAAGGAGCCGAGGTGAATGAATGACATTCCTAGCATCTCCTCAGACTTGCAGGTATTTTTGAATGAGAATGCCAGTGACTTTCTGCATATTACGTGTACGTATGGAGGCTCGTTAATACACCGTCGTATTTACACCTTTCCAAGAGTCATGTTTTGTTGTAGGTCGGCCTTTATATTAAAGGTTGTTGACCGAGTTAAGTCTGTAAATGTTTGAATAGTAATTTTAGACGATTATGCTTTTGACCCAACAAACTGTTTAATGTTAATTTTATTTAGTTCACCATAAGTTGTTTTATCATAAGTTTTTCAAACTTACCTACATTGTATTGTATAAGTGGGTAAATTGAAATGTGAAATGTAAGGCGTCGTTATTTGAGATTATAATATTATATTTAATATTTATTTTTAAAATATGTAAAGTAAATTATTTTTTAACAAAATTTAATTATGAATAATTAATAGATTAGTTACTAGAATTTGTTGCAATTAAAGCATGCACGACTTCAGATATAATTTGAATTTTAATTTAATTAGTGGACCGTAGACCATTTATTTATAAAGAAATTCCTTCACTCTATCATGCTATTTCATTAACTACCTATTAATTAATCGAGTACAGAAAAGAAAATTTTTTTTATCTATAGAAATATTTAAGTAAATTTACTTAATGGAAATGTAAGCTTATATTCCAAATATTTAGTGATATTAACTAAAACAACACTCAACAAATGATTAGAAGATCTAACCGGCCACAAAAAACACGTTTTCTTTCAACTATGATTTAGATACAATATGTATTTATAATATCTAGATTCATCTAAATATAATAAAATAGGAATTTTATTACTGTTTCATATGAGGAAAAGGCAAAACAATTATTGAGATTTTTTACTTATATACAAAATTTGTTTTTGACTATTCTATTGCTAGAATATTATACAATAATTGATTTTGCAGAAGACTAGCGACTCATTCTCGCTCCACTTGGGTTCATCCGTTTTAACGGTTAGTATAGATTTCTCAGAGGTGAAATATTTTCCTGCAGTAAAAAGTAACCTATCCCTTTACAACCGGCGAACTTTTTTTTTATTTTTTCGTGTATGACTTATGTATTCTAGTTATTTAGGCTTCAAACAACCTAAAAAAAATATCAAAAAAAATTGCGTACCCCCCATTTTTAAAAAAAAGTACCCTCACGATCGTGACGATCAGGATTAAATTGACTTCCGCACGATGGTGATTTTTTAAGAAGCAGCTGGGTTAATGAAATAAAAATCTAGTATAATAAACTTTATTTATATCCGTGATTAAATAATTTGGTAATCTATACATAAGTCTTTATAATTCAGCATATATTTTTGGTTTAATTATACTTATATGTATTAAACTTATCTATATTTGTATTTATTATATAATGTAAACAACTGCAGTATATAAATTAGATTAAATCTTTGAAAACATAAAAATAACTAACATAATAGGAACCATTTTGAGGTCAACTGCAGTATCTAATCATTTTATTTGTATGTTACAAATAAAATTATTAGATATTTCAGTTCGCATGGTATAATCGGAAATAATCTTTTCCCTGCGACATGCACAAGTAAACATTGTATTTACACAACGAATTTTGCTTCTATTTGTGCATAACTCTAATCTGCAGGAACGTTGAGCCGATAACTGTGCAAAGGTTGGCAGATGATCATATCCATCATATCTCTTTGCTTGCTTACTCTCCAATATCTTGCTGGCATATACTTGAAAGGCGGTGCCTCATCTTCAGTATCTGTGTCTTGACTCAATCGGCGTTTGCGGTCTGGAGTAGTCAACCAAGCATCTGCTACTTCCATTTTAAAGTTTAGAAGATCTAATATATTTTTTCGGAAGTTTATTAGCTTCACAATCTATTTTTTACTTCCGCCATGCATTAATTATAGCTAAATCCAAAATATGAATGATTACCTTCAGATTCCACTTTTTCGTTTTCATGAAGGTACGCTATTAATCCATTATTTGATCTAAAACATCCACTCCACCCATGTGTCTAATATAATTGCTAACTACCCTGGGAATAATATTATCCTTGTAAGATTTTGTTTGTTTGTTTGTCCCATCGTTTAACGTAGTCTTGATGTTTAGCACCAGTACAATTGGACGCCATCAATATAGCTTTATTATCTTCCGTTTTTACGTAGGTAGTAAATATTGGAGCCACCAGCAACCAGTTCGATGAATTCCTTATCAAAATAGTCAAATATACTCACTAGATGTCTTGACAGGTCCTGAGGGTGGACTTGGGTAATTTTGATCTTTATCAGTAAAGGATGATTACCTCCACGTACCAAATAACGAACAGATATATTCTCAGTAATTACCTCATCAGAAGACAGTTCCCAATGTGCTGGAGAAACATTCTGGATGATATTCATCACAAAATTTTTGAAAAAGGAAACGATCAAATTCCTCACCTTCGTCGTGCAGCACCTCAATATCATAGAGCATATCTATTTTGCAAGAGGTCTAAAACCTCTTCATTCCTCAAAACTGTGCCTAAAATTAGTATAAAATTATAAAACTTTACATGTACTGTCAAAAAGCAGCTTTAGAAAAAATACGTTTTTCGTAATTATTAATGAATTGAAACCCGGATTGTCACGATCGTGACGATATAAGTTTAAGAGATCACAAACAAAAGAACAACTATGCTATCAAAATACAAATTACGGCTTTGTGTTAATTATTATCTACATTTAACTTTAATAACAAAAAAAGATGTCAAGCTATGAAAAATATAGTAAAAAAATGTACTTATGTGATCGAGACCTATGTCCAAAATGCGCTGCCATCTTTGTCGACGGTCCTTCGACCACTGGATACGTTACAACGTGTCCTTTTAATTTTTGAATAAAGCGTATGTATCAACATTATCGTGTGAGGCCGATTGCGTTCACAAAAACAAATACATTTTGATTTAGAATTTTTTTTACCAAATGTCACGCTCGTATTCATTCGGTCGTAAAGGGCTATACCTATGTTGATCCGGATAACTAGCTATCATCATACCAAATTTCATCAAAACCTGTCCAGTGGTTTTCTTGTGATGCATTCCCAGACAGGCAGACAAAAATTCTTAAAACTAAATTCGGCCTCTGTATCGATAATAATGACTATTTCAATAACATTTTCCAAAAAATAATTAATGTACAGATTTGACTCAGAATTTTATTGCATGTATAGATGACGCACTTTTGCCAGTTCAACTCAGAACTAAAGCATTTTCTATCGCAACTTGTGCATGATGTTTAGTTTTTAAATATTTTAATTCTATTTTTTTTGTTTAAATTACACAGTAGTTCCCATTTAAATAAGTCTATGTATTATGTATGTAAGAAAATATGTATTATTAATATTATTTGTATGTACTTACTGGTGGGTGGTTACATTGAAAAAAAGGTGAGAGAATTGTGGAGCTGAGTCTTCAGGTCCATGTGGTGCTGGAAAAGACATCACTAGTAGGACAGGTTTCCTTGCAAACCTCCTTTTAGAGGCTCGAAGGAACGCTATAGAGTCGTTCGCTATTAAATCTGGATAGTAATCCTGAAAACACAATTTTATGTAAAATAAAAAATATATCAACATTTGTGTTATGTAAAAATATGTGTATATATTTGTTTAATATACCACGCTCTGTATGGAGGGTAGAGCTCAGGAGCTTTAGTGAGGTACCTACTAAGAATTTCCACCCCGTAATAGAAATTATGTTAGCAATTTCATTATACATATTAACTGGTATTAGTAATGAAGGTTTAGAATTGTAGAATTAAATTAATATTTATATTACTTTCAATAGAAATAAATACACTGTCGGCATAACTGATATTTTAATTAAACCTGTCTCAAAGTATTTTCTATGCTTGTTTAAATATGATATTTGAAATAGTGCACTACAATTCTTTTACATAAACAAGTACAGAAGATGAAATTTAATAAAAATATCTTCTTAGGATGTACTTTATAGATAAGGTATTCGCTAAGATTAGTATGAAATTTTATAACTTTTTAAATAGATTGTTATCAAAAGGACTTTTATTATTCTTTTTAGGTTTACCCTTTTGAAGAATAATCATTGGGTCGATGCCAATCTTAGTCATAACATGTTTAATTGTGAGGATATTTAAATAAAATATAAACAGAGAACGCAATATCATTACGAGTATGACTACAAGCATGTCGCATCGATAATAAAAGCCAGCTGAGTGCAAGAATACGAATCTCTAATTTTAGTATTGTAGAAATAACTTGCATGTTGTATGGGAAACTTAATGAAGTAGGTAATGAAGAAAGTAGGTGTTTTTATTATATCTAAATATTAATAAAGTTTTAATATAACTAGTATTTGGAATTCTAATGTAATCATTGTTTAACTATCTAGATAGTTAAACAATGATTAATTTAAATAAAAAAAAACAAAGTTGGTAAAGGTACTAAACTGTTTTGTCTTTGCCTATTTATATAAAGATAAATAAATAATAGTACTAAAAAACTTATAAGGCAGATAATTATATAAGCACCTAAGATTAGATAGTGTGGCTAATTTAAAAAGAAAATTTAACAAACAAATTTTCTTTTTATAAATTTAACAAATAAATTTAAAATTTAACCAGCTTCTTGTAAATAAAACTTGAAACTGAAACAAGTTGTAAGGTAGTACCGAATTGCAATCGATCTTGCGGTTATCAATATGTTAGTAGCCCGTAGTCTCTATAGAGACTAAAATACTATATGCCTACATAGACATTTGAATTTTTTATACTTTTATCTTTTTATTTTATTTTCCATTAAACTGTATATATAAGTTTTTGCAATAATTATGCACCTACACGTTCTCATATAAAAAATATAATTTTTACCCTATTGTAGTCATCGCCGTGCTTGATCTTCTTGCCATTCATGTTTATACTGTAGTTGTAATATTTAGAGTTCATAATCAATCCTCCCCATTCACGCCAACCAGGTGGAATATACGACCCGTTGTACTTGTTCAAATACTTCCCGAAATATCCTGTAACAAAAAGAATAATATGTTAAATACACAAGTTTATTACAATAAACTTATATAGGTACCCAGTGTATCTAGGAGTAGGTACGTATCGTTCATATTTAAAACTTGCCTTTTAACTTATAAAATCCCTAAAAATACTTCTAAGTTTGTGAAATCCTATATGTACCTATATATGAAAATGTTTTGACGATTATGATATCTTTTATTCTTCTTCCTAGAGTGTAAATTTTATAGCGAGTGACCTAATTTTATAAACTCCTGTATGATTATGAACACATGAAACTTATTAGCGTACTGCATTATTTTCAACCACAACTAAGTACTCATTTTTAAAGATTCAAATCTCCAAACTGTACATTGCCTTATATTTAATATGAAAAAGTTTGATAGCAAATAAAACATTGCAGTAGTCATTGTTCTAAAGACAAAAGATGAATTTTTAATTGTGGCCTACGAGAATACGAATCCAAGGGTTTTAATTTTCCCGGATGCGCGATGGAGTGAGTGAACGTTGATTGCTTAGGAATTGTCATTCCGAAATATAAGAAAAACACATACCGATTCTTATGAGTACCTAACATTTTAGTACCCAACATAAATATCGTAAATATTCGTAAAAATATATAAAACGCATTGTACAGTTAGACTCGCTAGTTTTTGTTTTGGGGTTCAAAATTTTGTGTTAATATTCATGATTTTAAAAAGAAAATTAATATGAAAATTGATGTTATAGCCCTAGTCTATTTATATAATAAATAAAAAACAAAAATAGTCCTTTATTTAGTTCTCTTTGATATTCGTTATTTTCACATCCGATACTCGTTAGTTACTTGGTATTACCAATTAACAATATTTACGTTAAAAGTACTCTCTCTATAAGATTAATAAATGAAATGAGATAATAACGAACAATTAACAAGTTTTATTATATTAATTCATAAAAAAATCTTATAATTAATATTTGAATCTTACATTTATCTATATACTAATATTATAAAGAGAAAAATATTTTTTTAGTATGTTTGTTTGTAATGGATAAACTAAAAATCCGCTAAGCCGATTTAGATGGTATGAAGATAGTTTGAGACCCTGGGAAGGATATATTTATTTATTAGGGGTGAAAATGGGGATGAAAGTATGGGGAATCAATCATTTCACAAGTAAGGGATATAAAACTCATCATACCTATGTCTATATGATTTATAGTCTATCTATTCCATTCTAACCGTTAAAACGTACCTAGGGACAAAACCGAACGAAGCAAGGGTGAGTTGCTAGTAATATGATTTATTAAGAAAATCATTGAATGATAAATATTAATTAAAGTGTTGTAACAACATCCACAGAGAACTATATTTATCTCTGGAAATGTCAACTATTATAAAGTTAGGTCGGTACATCGTCATAAATCTATTTAGTTACACTTTGTAAATGCATTTCTATTTTTCAATTTTGGTAAACGTTGTTACTAAAATTATATCAATCTGCAAAATAAGTTTCGTATTAATAGGGACGTTTTATATATAAGAGAATGTGCGTTTGTTTGTCCTTATAATATGATTTATCTATAGAGACTTTTTATTGCGGGAATATTTAATTCCAGCCGAAAAAATACATTATAATTGGTATACAACCGAGTAAGCAATCATGAGCATATTATTAAAAATGCTAAAGGTACCTAGATTATAGACGCCAGTTCGATAATGAAAGTAACAAGTTAATGAACTGAAATTTATTTAGGAAATACTGACATACTAGATCAAATAATATTGTAACATATTGACGACTAGCTCTTGCTTCGAATCATCATACACACCACGATATTTTTAATATTTTTTGTATATTCCATTTTTATGTATAAGAGGTAAGAAGCAGCCTTTGTCACTTTCCGGTCATAACATTCACTTCACACTATCCGTAGCAATGTGTTTACACTCTCAAAAGGATTATTCACTTTTCATTAAACAAATCGGTGAATGCTGGATAATAGGTGGCAGTTCTAACGATTAAAAAGACATTAAAATATGTAGATCAAAACTATGAAAAATAATGAGAATTGATGATTGATGCCGCAGCCTAAATCGGTTGAAATGACTTCTTACTACTAGAGACTAGTTTATTGCGCAGGAGATATTATAGTGCATACAAGTACACGTGCAAACACAAGGGCACTCTCTATTCCTTACACTCAGAAATTCCGATAAGATGATAATTCGACACGACCAGAGGTGAGAGAGCATGCGCAGGACCGACGGCTTAACCTGCTCTCCGAGGTGAGGTGAAACACCTTAAACGCCAACTTTCCATCTCCAGGCTGTTTCTGGGACTTTCTTAAAAGACTCAATAACTAGTTTAAGAAATTGGTTCGACCCGGGACTCAAACCTAGGACCTCCGGATGTGCAGCCGTACATGTTAGCCACTACACCGCCGAGGCAGTTATGCTTGAGAATTATATAATAACACAAATATTTTTTCTTTTTATATTCGTATGAAACCAAATATTTCATAAATTAGTTTTACTAAGGCATTTTGTGCATGTCCTATTCTATCTGGCTACATTCTAGTCACGTTTATAATCCGTGTCAGACTAGCTATCAGTGTTATCAAATAACTGTCATGTTGCGCTATTAAATTCGACATTATGCCTCAAGCTTACCAAATAAGATCATAATATGTACATTCTAACAATAAAGTGACAATAAACAATAAAACGGAATCTCAAATCATATATCAAATGGGTGCCTTCTTGATATGTATAATATAGTATAAAGAAAACGTGTAGAGATTACAGACAGTTCTAACTTTTTAGAAGTATAAAAAATCTTAAAGTTTCAGTGTATTTAAATAGAAAACACATCATTTAAATACAAAACACACCCTTTAAATTAATTCTGAATAATACCTAAATAGGCTTTTTATTGTACTTAGTTACTAGTTTTTAATATAGTATGAGTAATAAGTATAAAAAGCAACTTACAAACCATATTACACAAGATAATGAAATTCACTGTTAATAATATAATTACCGGACTGAAGGCAAATATATCTGTAAGGCTTAATCTAGTTAACTCAGATAGGTATTTGTTGCTCAACAAAATCATTTAATATGGGCATGCATTTAGGTCAATTCATCTATACTAATATTACCTATAAAGAGGTAAAGTTTGTGAGTTTGTGAGATTGTAGAGGTTAATATTTGGATCTACTGAACCTATTTAGATGAAATTTGGTAAGAAGATAGTTTGAGACCCTGGGAAGGATATTGGATACTTTTTATCCCGGAAATCATCCATTAAGGCCGTGAAAATGGGGATGAAAGTTTATATAGGGAACCAATCTAGGGACGAAACCAAGCGAAGAGAGCGTGAGTCGCTAGTATTCTATAAATATAAAAGGATAATTCTAAATACTAGGTATTACCTGTCATATTAACCAAAACTGGAAGTAAAATTTTTTATATTGTGTTATATAAAATATAATATTGTTTATTAGACATAAACATCATCCGGCGCGATACTCAGCATTTTTTTAATAAATATATTTATGAAAATGAAAAATTTAATTAAAACTAAGTAGATATACATATATTTTTATATAGTAATGTTTGTCGCAACCTTTAAATTACATTGAATTTTAAATTTTTATTTATATAACAAGTATTATATAATTTTAACATTTAAGATATATTACGTATTATACCTACTAGCAGCTTACACTCGCTTCGTTCGGGTCTGAAGGAATCCTACGAAGGGTTAAGGAACGCAGAGAAAAAAAATCAAGGAAAAAATCCAATTTTTAGGCAAAGAACCTTTGCAAGCGTACTGAGAACTACTCACCAAAGTTTCATCACAATTGGATGAATGGTTTAGTTTCTTAAACCATAGATTCCTAAAGCATAGAGTAAAAACACACAAAGATCTTTTTATTTATACAGATTACTGATGGTCAAATGCCATTTCTGCTTTACTATTTCCTCTTAGACTGGTTAAACGAGGGTCTCTGGAATTTCATTTAGTAAAGACCTTAATCTCCTTGGACTTTGACTGATCCCTTTGGTGAATTTTACCTCATAATTCTGCCTTGAGGAATTATGGCCGATAAATCTATTAGAGCGAGTAATACATGTAGTTATTATTATTTTTAGGTACCTTACCTGAATACTTAGGTGAAAACATTTTTATAATCTCATTGCTGTCCGCCTGTCTGTCCAATCAAATTGAAATTCTTTATATATAAAATATAACATAGGTACTTAAGTCAATGTAAATAATAGATACGGACATTTATGTCTTATATTTTGACGCTCGCAAACTCATACAACAAAAGTAATAGGATACTTCCTGTTAACCTAAAATCATTGAAGTAAATTAAATAAAAAATCTGAAATATTTTCCTTTGTAATTGTCACATAAAAATATATTAATACTAATTATATTTATATTGGATACGATTGATATTTAAAGAAAAATCTACGATAAAAGCTTCCATATACAATTATAACACTTTGTCAATGATATCTCAAATATAAGTTAAAGCAAATAAAAACATTGTTCAGTAATTTCATAAATCACTCGTATATTCACGTAAACTAGTTCCATCTGGCAATAAATTATAGACACCGAGCGGAAACTGCGACAAGGAAATGTATTTATAGGGTTGGTAGGATTTCTACATCAGAAATAACGATTAAGCACTAATTCAAACGTGAGAACAAGATAGTATACTTATACATTATTTAATTCACCCTAGACGAGATAAAATATGCTGATATATTTTGAATTATATTTATATACTTCAAAATATATAATGTATATACTAGCGACTCACCCTCGCTCCGCTCGGGTTGGTCCCTATTGTACGTTTTAACGGTTAGTATAGATTTCTCAAAAATGAGATATTTTCCCGCAGTAAAAAGTATCCTATATGTTAACTCGGATAACCGGCTATCATCGTACCAAATTTTATCAAATTTCATCAAAATCAACCCGACGACACATTG